GCATCCACTGCTGCTGCTGGTGCTGCTGCTGCTGCTGGCGCAGCAACGGCGCAGGAGCGGCACAGTCACAGCAACTGCAGCAGGAGCAGGGGTAGGGTAACGGCAGGGGCAGAAGCAGCAGAGCAGCAGCAGGCACCATTTCCTCCCCGCACCCCTCTCCTGCTTCTTCCCAGCGGCACCTGGAGCAGCAGCAGGCACGGCTGCAGCTGCGGCAGCGGCGGCAGCAGCAGCAGCAGCAGTAGCTGAGTTGGCAGCACCTGCTTGGATGGCAGCATACTCTTGGTGTACCTGAGGAGGTAGGGGAGCGGAGGGGAGCAGAGGGGAGAGTAGGGGAAGAGAGGATTGAATTGTGAGGGAACGAGGGTGTGGATTAGGAGGTCTGGATCAGCAGCGGCAACAGCAGCAGCTTGGATGGCGGCTTACTATTGGTGTATGTGAGAGCAGGGTGAGGGAAGGGGCAGGTAACACTGCAACACAACACTGACACTGCAGGGTGAGGGAAGGGGCAGGTAACACTGCAACACAGCACTGACACTGCAGGGTGAGGGAAGGGGCAGGTAACACTGCAACACAACACTGACACTGCAGGGTGAGGGAAGGGGCAGGTAACACTGCAACACAACACTGACACTGCAGGGTGAGGGAAGGGGCAGGTAACACTGCACACAGCACTGACACTGCAGGGTGAGGGAAGGGGCAGGTAACACTGCAACACAACACTGACACTGCAGGGTGAGGGAAGCGGCAGGTAACACTGCAACACAACACTGACACTGCAGGGTGAGGGAAGGGGCAGGTAACACTGCAACACGCACTGACACTGCAGGGTGAGGGAAGGGGCAGGTAACACTGCAACACAACACTGACACTGCAGGGTGAGGGAAGGGGCAGTAACACTGCAACACAACACTGACAGCACTGCCACTCTCACCTGGTGCAGCGAGACGCCTAATTGCAGCAGAAAATCGTTGACTCACGCCATGGGTGGCAGCAGTGCCACTGCTGGTGAATGTTCTGAGAAGTCTCACAAGCAGCTGGGCGGCTGGGGCTTTCACATACAGCTCATGTACCTCCCACCTGCTTTTGAGTCACCTCAAAAGTCACTTTTGAGTCACCTCAAAAGTCACTTTGAGTCACCTCATAAGTCACTTTTGAGTCACCTCAAAAGTCACTTTTGAGTCACCTCATAAGTCACTTTTGAGTCACCTCAAAAGTCACTTTTGAGTCACCTCAAAAGTCACTTTTGAGTCACCTCAAAAGTCACTTCACACACAGCTCATGTACCTCCCACCTGCTTTTGAGTCTCACAAGCAGCTGGGCAGCTGGGGCTTTCACACACAGCTCATGTACCTCCCACCTGCTTCGGCATAATCTTCTTCTCACCTGGTGCAGCGTGACGCCTATTTGCTGCAGGAAATCATTGACTGACGGCATGGGTGGCAGCAGTGCCACTGCCGACCGCAGCTGCGGCTTCTGCAGCGCTGCTTCCAGCGCCTCTGCCTCCGCCATCACAGACTGCACCTCGGAAACACGAGTCTGGTGTTGGGAAGTATAAGGCAGGGAGCAAAAATCACGGGAATGCAAAAGCTGGGGCTTTTGCACTGCTGCTTCCAGCGCCTCTGCCTCCACCATTACAGACTGCACTTCAGCCACTCGTGTCTGTACAGAGGGGTGGAGCAGGGGAGGCATAAAGGGGACAGAAGAGCTTAAAGAGGGACATGTGAGCATGGGAATGCAGTAGCTGCGGCTTCTACAGCGCTGCTTCCAGTGCCTCTGCCTCCGCCATCACAGACTGCACTTCAGCCACTCGAGTCTGATGGAATGATCAGTGGAGAAATTATGGGAGAAATTATGGGAGAAATTATGAGAGAAATTATGGGAGAAATTATGGGAGAAATTATGAGAGAAATCATGGGAGAAATTATGGGAGAAATTATGGGAGAAATTATGGGAGAATTATGGGAGAAATTATGGAGAATTATGGGAGAAATTATGGGAGAAGGGGACAGGACGGGGGTGAAGGGGACAGGAGAGCACGACGAGAACAGGAGAGCATAAAGGGACAGAATAAGGTGGGGAAGGTAAGCGTGGGAAGGTGAGCGTGGGGAAGGTGAGCGTGGGAAATGCAAATAGCTGAGCCTTCAACTGTGCTGCTTGCAGTGACTCAGCGGCCCACCCATACAGTCACTACGCCATACAATCATCGTGCACCACCTTGTCCTACCCTGCACCACCCTGGCCCACCCCGCACCACCCTGCCCCACCCTGCACCACCCTGCCCCACCCTGCCCCACCCCGCACCACCCTGCACCACCCTGCCCCCCCCGCACCACCGCACCTTGTGCATCTGCTCAATGGCTTGCAGTGGCCTGGCGAGAGCTGCGGCCTGCCATAGCGCAACAAGGGGGAGGGGAACAAACATGGGAGCGGGGAGGAACGGGAACGAACATGGGAGCGGGGAGGAAGGGGAACGAACATGGGAGCGGGGAGGAAGGGGAATGAACATGGGAGCGGGGAGGAAGGGGAACAAACATGGGAGCGGGGAGGAAGGGGAACAAACATGGGAGCGGGGAGGAAGGGGAACGAACGTGGGAGAGGGGAGAACGAAAATGGGAGAGGCCAGAAAATGGGAGAGGGAACGAAGGGTAAACAAGCATGGAGAAGTAAAACTGAACCTTTCTTCAGGTGGCAAGTGAGAGTGCTTGAAACAATTTGAAACGAGGTGTGGACCAATCACCACCCACCACCCAGCAGTGTGGCAGGCCATGGTGCAAAACCACATCGACCCAGCAGGGCAGCACCCCATTCCTCCACCCCAATCCAGAACCCTAAACCCGAGTAGCATTGCGCCACCCAGCAGTGTGACAGGCTGTGGTACAAAACCACATCGACCCAGCAGGGCAGCACCTCATTCCTCCACCCCAATCCAGAACGCTAAACCCGAGTAGCATTGCGCCACCCAGCAGTGTGACAGGCTGTGGTGCAAAACCACATCGACCCAGCAGGGCAGCACCTCATTCCTCCACCCCAATCCAGAACGCTAAACCCGAGTAGCATTGCGCCACCCAGCAGTGTGACAGGCTGTGGTGCAAAACCACATCGACCCAGCAGGGCAGCACCTCATTCCTCCACCCCAATCCAGAACGCTAAACCCGAGTAGCATTGCGCCACCCAGCAGTGTGACAGGCTGTGGTACAAAACCACATCGACCCAGCAGGGCAGCACCCCATTCCTCCACCCCAATCCAGAACCCTAAACCCGAGTAGCATTGCGCCACCCAGCAGTGTGACAGGCTGTGGTACAAAACCACATCGACCCAGCAGGGCAGCACCCCATTCCTCCACCCCAATCCAGAACGCTAAACCCGAGTAGCATTGCGCCACCCAGCAGTGTGACAGGCTGTGGTACAAAACCACATCGACCCAGCAGGGCAGCACCCCATTCCTCCACCCCAATCCAGAACCCTAAACCCGAGTAGCATTGCGCCACCCAGCAGTGTGACAGGCTGTGGTACAAAACCACATCGACCCAGCAGGGCAGCACCTCATTCCTCCACCCCAATCCAGAACGCTAAACCCGAGTAGCATTGCGCCACCCAGCAGTGTGACAGGCTGTGGTGCAAAACCACATCGACCCAGCAGGGCAGCACCCATTCCTCCACCCCAATCCAGAACGCTAAACCCGAGTAGCATTGCGCCACCCAGCAGTGTGACAGGCTGTGGTACAAAACCACATCGACCCAGCAGGGCAGCACCTCATTCCTCCACCCCAATCCAGAACGCTAAACCCGAGTAGCATTGCGCCACCCAGCAGTGTGACAGGCTGTGGTACAAAACCACATCGACCCAGCAGGGCAGCACCTCATTCCTCCACCCCAATCCAGAACGCTAAACCCGAGTAGCATTGCGCCACCCAGCAGTGTGACAGGCTGTGGTGCAAAACCACATCGACCCAGCAGGGCAGCACCTCATTCCTCCACCCCAATCCAGAACGCTAAACCCGAGTAGCATTGCGCCACCCAGCAGTGTGACAGGCTGTGGTACAAAACCACATCGACCCAGCAGGGCAGCACCCCATTCCTCCACCCCAATCCAGAACCCTAAACCCGAGTAGCATTGCGCCACCCAGCAGTGTGACAGGCTGTGGTACAAAACCACATCGACCCAGCAGGGCAGCACCTCATTCCTCCACCCCAATCCAGAACGCTAAACCCGAGTAGCATTGCGCCACCCAGCAGTGTGACAGGCTGTGGTACAAAACCACATCGACCCAGCAGGGCAGCACCTCATTCCTCCACCCCAATCCAGAACGCTAAACCCGAGTAGCATTGCGCCACCCAGCAGTGTGACAGGCTGTGGTACAAAACCACATCGACCCAGCAGGGCAGCACCCCATTCCTCCACCCCAATCCAGAACGCTAAACCCGAGTAGCATTGCGCCACCCAGCAGTGTGACAGGCTGTGGTACAAAACCACATCGACCCAGCAGGGCAGCACCTCATTCCTCCACCCCAATCCAGAACGCTAAACCCGAGTAGCATTGCGCCACCCAGCAGTGTGACAGGCTGTGGTACAAAACCACATCGACCCAGCAGGGCAGCACCTCATTCCTCCACCCCAATCCAGAACGCTAAACCCGAGTAGCATTGCGCCACCCAGCAGTGTGACAGGCTGTGGTACAAAACCACATCGACCCAGCAGGGCAGCACCTCATTCCTCCACCCCAATCCAGAACGCTAAACCCGAGTAGCATTGCGCCACCCAGCAGTGTGACAGGCTGTGGTACAAAACCACATCGACCCAGCAGGGCAGCACCTCATTCCTCCACCCCAATCCAGAACGCTAAACCCGAGTAGCATTGCGCCACCCAGCAGTGTGACAGGCTGTGGTACAAAACCACATCGACCCAGCAGGGCAGCACCTCATTCCTCCACCCCAATCCAGAACGCTAAACCCGAGTAGCATTGCGCCACCCAGCAGTGTGACAGGCTGTGGTACAAAACCACATCGACCCAGCAGGGCAGCACCTCATTCCTCCACCCCAATCCAGAACGCTAAACCCGAGTAGCATTGCGCCACCCAGCAGTGTGACAGGCTGTGGTACAAAACCACATCGACCCAGCAGGGCAGCACCTCATTCCTCCACCCCAATCCAGAACGCTAAACCCGAGTAGCATTGCGCCACCCAGCAGTGTGACAGGCTGTGGTACAAAACCACATCGACCCAGCAGGGCAGCACCTCATTCCTCCACCCCAATCCAGAACGCTAAACCCGAGTAGCATTGCGCCACCCAGCAGTGTGACAGGCTGTGGTACAAAACCACATCGACCCAGCAGGGCAGCACCTCATTCCTCCACCCCAATCCAGAACGCTAAACCCGAGTAGCATTGCGCCACCCAGCAGTGTGACAGGCTGTGGTACAAAACCACATCGACCCAGCAGGGCAGCACCCCATTCCTCCACCCCAATCCAGAACGCTAAACCCGAGTAGCATTGCGCCACCCAGCAGTGTGACAGGCTGTGGTACAAAACCACATCGACCCAGCAGGGCAGCACCTCATTCCTCCACCCCAATCCAGAACGCTAAACCCGAGTAGCATTGCGCCACCCAGCAGTGTGACAGGCTGTGGTACAAAACCACATCGACCCAGCAGGGCAGCACCTCATTCCTCCACCCCAATCCAGAACGCTAAACCCGAGTAGCATTGCGCCACCCAGCAGTGTGACAGGCTGTGGTACAAAACCACATCGACCCAGCAGGGCAGCACCTCATTCCTCCACCCCAATCCAGAACGCTAAACCCGAGTAGCATTGCGCCACCCAGCAGTGTGACAGGCTGTGGTACAAAACCACATCGACCCAGCAGGGCAGCACCTCATTCCTCCACCCCAATCCAGAACGCTAAACCCGAGTAGCATTGCGCCACCCAGCAGTGTGACAGGCTGTGGTACAAAACCACATCGACCCAGCAGGGCAGCACCTCATTCCTCCACCCCAATCCAGAACGCTAAACCCGAGTAGCATTGCGCCACCCAGCAGTGTGACAGGCTGTGGTACAAAACCACATCGACCCAGCAGGGCAGCACCCCATTCCTCCACCCCAATCCAGAACGCTAAACCCGAGTAGCATTGCGCCACCCAGCAGTGTGACAGGCTGTGGTACAAAACCACATCGACCCAGCAGGGCAGCACCTCATTCCTCCACCCCAATCCAGAACGCTAAACCCGAGTAGCATTGCGCCACCCAGCAGTGTGACAGGCTGTGGTACAAAACCACATCGACCCAGCAGGGCAGCACCCCATTCCTCCACCCCAATCCAGAACGCTAAACCTGAGTAGCATTGCGCCACCCAGCAGTGTGACAGGCTGTGGTACAAAACCACATCGACCCAGCAGGGCAGCACCCCATTCCTCCACCCCAATCCAGAACGCTAAACCCGAGTAGCATTGCGCCACCCAGCAGTGTGACAGGCTGTGGTACAAAACCACATCGACCCAGCAGGGCAGCACCTCATTCCTCCACCCCAATCCAGAACGCTAAACCCGAGTAGCATTGCGCCACCCAGCAGTGTGACAGGCTGTGGTACAAAACCACATCGACCCAGCAGGGCAGCACCTCATTCCTCCACCCCAATCCAGAACGCTAAACCCGAGTAGCATTGCGCCACCCAGCAGTGTGACAGGCTGTGGTACAAAACCACATCGACCCAGCAGGGCAGCACCTCATTCCTCCACCCCAATCCAGAACGCTAAACCCGAGTAGCATTGCGCCACCCAGCAGTGTGACAGGCTGTGGTACAAAACCACATCGACCCAGCAGGGCAGCACCTCATTCCTCCACCCCAATCCAGAACGCTAAACCCGAGTAGCATTGCGCCACCCAGCAGTGTGACAGGCTGTGGTACAAAACCACATCGACCCAGCAGGGCAGCACCTCATTCCTCCACCCCAATCCAGAACGCTAAACCCGAGTAGCATTGCGCCACCCAGCAGTGTGACAGGCTGTGGTACAAAACCACATCGACCCAGCAGGGCAGCACCCCATTCCTCCACCCCAATCCAGAACGCTAAACCCGAGTAGCATTGCGCCACCCAGCAGTGTGACAGGCTGTGGTACAAAACCACATCGACCCAGCAGGGCAGCACCTCATTCCTCCACCCCAATCCAGAACGCTAAACCCGAGTAGCATTGCGCCACCCAGCAGTGTGACAGGCTGTGGTACAAAACCACATCGACCCAGCAGGGCAGCACCTCATTCCTCCACCCCAATCCAGAACGCTAAACCCGAGTAGCATTGCGCCACCCAGCAGTGTGACAGGCTGTGGTACAAAACCACATCGACCCAGCAGGGCAGCACCTCATTCCTCCACCCCAATCCAGAACGCTAAACCCGAGTAGCATTGCGCCACCCAGCAGTGTGACAGGCTGTGGTACAAAACCACATCGACCCAGCAGGGCAGCACCTCATTCCTCCACCCCAATCCAGAACGCTAAACCCGAGTAGCATTGCGCCACCCAGCAGTGTGACAGGCTGTGGTACAAAACCACATCGACCCAGCAGGGCAGCACCTCATTCCTCCACCCCAATCCAGAACGCTAAACCCGAGTAGCATTGCGCCACCCAGCAGTGTGACAGGCTGTGGTACAAAACCACATCGACCCAGCAGGGCAGCACCTCATTCCTCCACCCCAATCCAGAACGCTAAACCCGAGTAGCATTGCGCCACCCAGCAGTGTGACAGGCTGTGGTACAAAACCACATCGACCCAGCAGGGCAGCACCCCATTCCTCCACCCCAATCCAGAACGCTAAACCCGAGTAGCATTGCGCCACCCAGCAGTGTGACAGGCTGTGGTACAAAACCACATCGACCCAGCAGGGCAGCACCTCATTCCTCCACCCCAATCCAGAACGCTAAACCCGAGTAGCATTGCGCCACCCAGCAGTGTGACAGGCTGTGGTACAAAACCACATCGACCCAGCAGGGCAGCACCCCATTCCTCCACCCCAATCCAGAACGCTAAACCTGAGTAGCATTGCGCCACCCAGCAGTGTGACAGGCTGTGGTACAAAACCACATCGACCCAGCAGGGCAGCACCCCATTCCTCCACCCCAATCCAGAACGCTAAACCCGAGTAGCATTGCGCCACCCAGCAGTGTGACAGGCTGTGGTACAAAACCACATCGACCCAGCAGGGCAGCACCTCATTCCTCCACCCCAATCCAGAACGCTAAACCCGAGTAGCATTGCGCCACCCAGCAGTGTGACAGGCTGTGGTACAAAACCACATCGACCCAGCAGGGCAGCACCTCATTCCTCCACCCCAATCCAGAACGCTAAACCCGAGTAGCATTGCGCCACCCAGCAGTGTGACAGGCTGTGGTACAAAACCACATCGACCCAGCAGGGCAGCACCTCATTCCTCCACCCCAATCCAGAACGCTAAACCCGAGTAGCATTGCGCCACCCAGCAGTGTGACAGGCTGTGGTACAAAACCACATCGACCCAGCAGGGCAGCACCCCATTCCTCCACCCCAATCCAGAACGCTAAACCCGAGTAGCATTGCGCCACCCAGCAGTGTGACAGGCTGTGGTACAAAACCACATCGACCCAGCAGGGCAGCACCTCATTCCTCCACCCCAATCCAGAACGCTAAACCCGAGTAGCATTGCGCCACCCAGCAGTGTGACAGGCTGTGGTACAAAACCACATCGACCCAGCAGGGCAGCACCCCATTCCTCCACCCCAATCCAGAACGCTAAACCTGAGTAGCATTGCGCCACCCAGCAGTGTGACAGGCTGTGGTACAAAACCACATCGACCCAGCAGGGCAGCACCCCATTCCTCCACCCCAATCCAGAACGCTAAACCCGAGTAGCATTGCGCCACCCAGCAGTGTGACAGGCTGTGGTACAAAACCACATCGACCCAGCAGGGCAGCACCTCATTCCTCCACCCCAATCCAGAACGCTAAACCCGAGTAGCATTGCGCCACCCAGCAGTGTGACAGGCTGTGGTACAAAACCACATCGACCCAGCAGGGCAGCACCTCATTCCTCCACCCCAATCCAGAACGCTAAACCCGAGTAGCATTGCGCCACCCAGCAGTGTGACAGGCTGTGGTACAAAACCACATCGACCCAGCAGGGCAGCACCTCATTCCTCCACCCCAATCCAGAACGCTAAACCCGAGTAGCATTGCGCCACCCAGCAGTGTGACAGGCTGTGGTACAAAACCACATCGACCCAGCAGGGCAGCACCTCATTCCTCCACCCCAATCCAGAACGCTAAACCCGAGTAGCATTGCGCCACCCAGCAGTGTGACAGGCTGTGGTACAAAACCACATCGACCCAGCAGGGCAGCACCTCATTCCTCCACCCCAATCCAGAACGCTAAACCCGAGTAGCATTGCGCCACCCAGCAGTGTGACAGGCTGTGGTACAAAACCACATCGACCCAGCAGGGCAGCACCTCATTCCTCCACCCCAATCCAGAACGCTAAACCCGAGTAGCATTGCGCCACCCAGCAGTGTGACAGGCTGTGGTACAAAACCACATCGACCCAGCAGGGCAGCACCTCATTCCTCCACCCCAATCCAGAACGCTAAACCCGAGTAGCATTGCGCCACCCAGCAGTGTGACAGGCTGTGGTACAAAACCACATCGACCCAGCAGGGCAGCACCTCATTCCTCCACCCCAATCCAGAACGCTAAACCCGAGTAGCATTGCGCCACCCAGCAGTGTGACAGGCTGTGGTACAAAACCACATCGACCCAGCAGGGCAGCACCCCATTCCTCCACCCCAATTCAGAACCCTAAACCCGAGTAGCATTGCGCCACCTAGCAGTGTGACAGGCTGTGGTACAAAACCACATCGACCCAGCAGGGCAGCACCCCATTCCTCCACCAGGCGACTCACCAGCTGTGGCTTGCCCCCTTGCATGGAAAGCATCCTTCTCTGCTTTCATCTGCTGCAGCTACGGTGACATTTGAGTCGACCCAGCAGCGTGGCACCCCATGCCCCCACCACACGACTCACCAGCTGTGGCTTGCCCTTCAGAGCGTCCTTCTCTGCCTTCATCTTCTGCAGCTTCTCCTGGGAGAACTGCAGGCGCTCGCCGGCTCTGATGGGGGGACGGTGGGGAAGGGTTGGGAAGGGTTGGGAAGGGTGGGAGGGTATTGGAGGGTGGGAGGGAGAGCTTCCTTCTCCGCCTTCATCTTCTCCTGGGAGAACTGCAGGCGCTCGCTGGCTCTGATGGGGGGGACGGTGGGGAAGGGTTGGGAAGGGTTGGGAAGGGTTGGGAAGGGTGGGAGGGTATTGGAGGGTGGGAGGGAGAGCGTCCTTCTCCGCCTTTTTTTTTTCTGGGAGAACTGCAGGCGCTCGCTGGCTCTGATAGTGGGGGAGGCAGGTTAGAAAGTACGTGTGGTGGACGGGACATGGAAGGAGGGCAAGGAGCAAATAAGAGGGGGAAGAGCACACGTGCTATTCGTGGCATGCTCTTCCCACTCACAACTTGTGCAACTTTTCGTGAGAGAATTGGAAGCACTCACCGGCTAGTAAGGTAGGACAGGTGGGTTAGGGAAAGGCGATTTTTGAGTCGACTACAAAATCGGCAACTTTTCGTGAGAGAATTGGAAGCACTCACCGGCTAGTAAGGTAGGACAGGTAGGTTAGGGAAAGGGCACTGGGATGATTCTCCACTGCCTGCCCTGCCCCTCAGCTAGCCTGGACTTGGACGTCAACTGTGGGACCAAGAGGACTCAGCTCACCTCTGGGCATACGAGGGGCTTACGATTTGAGCTGGTCGAGCTTGGCATGCAGCAGCGCTGAAAGCGCACTGAGATGATTCTCCACTGCTTGACCCACCACCGCCATCACTGCCGCCTCCCGATCGGGGGCTCCCTGCAATACGAATGTGTAGGCGATGGGGGATGAGAGACATGTGTAGGCACGGGGGAGGATTGAGAGGAGGAGCGGGAGGGGGGGGAGAGAAGAAGACTTTTGAGACGTCTCAAAAGTCTGCCTCGCGGTCGGGGGCTCCCTACGATACGAATGTGTAGGCGCGGGGGAGGATGGGAGAGGAGGAGCGGGAGGGGGGGGAGAGGAGGAGCGGGAGGGGGGGGAGAGGAGGAGCGGGAGGGGGGGGAGAGGAGGAGCGGGAGGGGGGGGAGGAGGAGCGGGAGGGGGGGGAGAGGAGGAGTGGGAGGAGGGGGAGAGGAGGAGCGGGAGGGGGGGGAGAGGAGGAGCGGGAGGAGAGGGAGAGGAGGAGCGGGAGGAGGGGGAGAGGAGGAGCGGGAGGAGGGGGAGAGGAGGAGCGGGAGGAGGGGGAGAGGAGGAGCGGGAGGAGGGGGAGAGGAGGAGAGGGAGGAGGGGGAGAGAGGAGGAGCGGGAGGAGGGAGAGAGGAGGAGCGGGAGGAGGGGGAGAGGAGGAGCGGGAGGAGGGGGAGAGGAGGAGCGGGAGGAGGGGGAGAGGAGGAGCGGGAGGAGGGGGAGAGGAGGAGCGGGAGGAGGGGGAGAGGAGGAGCGGGAGGAGGGGGAGAGGAGGAGCGGGAGGAGGGAGAGAGGAGGAGCGGGAGGAGGGGGAGAGGAGGCGGGCGGGGAAGGGGGAGAGGAGAAGGCAGAAGAGTGTTTTGCGAATCCCGGGTTGGGAGGGGAGAGGGTTGATGGCGGGTGGGAAGGGAAGCACTTTGAGACGCTTCAAGAATGCAAGGGTGTGATCAGAGACAGGGGGTGTTTCCTTAAGTCCTGCATGTTTGTATTCTTCCCCTTCATCAATACAAGGTCCGTTTGAGGGGAAGGGGGGTGGGGATGGGAAGGAGGGGAGGGAAGAGAGTATGAGGAGGTGGAATGTATAGGCAGGCGCAGCACCCTTACTCACCGAAGTGACTTTTGAGTCGACTCAAAAGTCACCTCGAGGAGGTGGAATGTATAGGCAGGCGCAACACTCTCTCACTCACCGAAAACGGCCCTCCGACCTGCCCCGGCAGGGTCATGTGTGAGCGTTGGAGCACAGATTCCAGTGCATGCACCACCCCCAGCTGCTGCTGTCAATCGGCTTGGTGAGAGACAGGGACAGTGGGCTCAAGATGCAAGGGAGCATTCCTTACACTCACCGAGAACGGCCCTCCGACCTGCCCTGGCAGGGGCATGTGTGGGCGCTGCAGCACGGACTCGAGTGCATGCACCACCCCCAGCTGCTGCGCACACCGCAGTTGGTGCAGCTGCTCCGGCGTCAGCTGTGGCCCCTCCTGCTGCTGCCCCTGCTGCTGGTCGGGTTGAACTGCTGCTACTGGTGCTACTGTCGCTGGAGTAGGGACGCCGTTCTGAGCTGCTGCTGCTGCAAGGGTCTGGGTGAGGGGGGAAAGGGGAGGGAAAGGGGAGGGAAGGGGAGAAAAGGGCAGGGAAGAGGGGAGGGAAGGGGGGAGGGAATGGGGGAGAAGCAAGGGTAGGAGCTCAAGAACGGACTAGAGAGCATGCACGACCCTAAATTCGAACTCACCTTTACAGCTGCACAGGCAGCAGTCAACACCTCCCCCAGCTCCTTCCTCCGCGCCTCTGCATCCACAACACCTGCAGGCTGCAGCCTCGACACCTCTCTTCAGCCTCACCAATCCCTTTCTCTACCAATACAAGTCAAATCTATTCTCACCATTGCACCAGAAGCACCACCGCCAGCAGCAGCAGCACCACCGCCAGCAGCAGCAGCAGCAGCAGCAGCCTAACACCTCCCCCAGCTGCTTCCTCCGCACATCTGCAGCCTCGACACCTCTCCTCTGCCTCGCTAATCCCTTTCTACCAATACAAGTCAAATCTATTCTCACCGTTGCACCAGCGCACGTGTAATGAGGTTATTCTTGAGACGTCTCAAAAATAACCTCATTACACGTGACAAGTCAAATTTAATCTCACCTTTCCACCAGCAGCACCACCGCCAGCAGCAGCAGCAGCAGCAGCAGCAGCTAATACCTCCTCTGGCTGCTTCCTCCGCGCCTCTGCATCCAGCCACAGCGACCGCAGCCTAGATCCCTCTGCATCTGCAGCCTTTTTCCCTGACCTACACATGTCAAGTCTGAACTCACCTTCGCACTGCCAGCAGCAGCAGCAGAGGCAGCAGTCAACACCTCTTCCAGCTGCTTCCGCCTCGCCTCTGCATCCAGCCACAGCGACCGCAGCCTAGATGCCTCTGCCTCACTAAGTCTCTCCTTCTACCAGACACGAATCAACTTTCAACTTCAAACTCACCTTTCCACCACCGCTGCTAGCAGCAGCAGAGGCAGCAGCTAACACCTCTTCAAGCTGCTTCCGCCTCGCCTCTGCGTCCAGCCACAGCGACCGCAGCCTAGATGCCTCCGCCTCTGCAGCCTCCACCTGGCCCCTCAGCTTGGTACTCTCTGCTGCTGCTGCTTCTAACTTCCTCCTTGCCTCCTCCACTGCAGCCGCCCCTGCTGCTGCCCCAGCTGCTGCTGCTGCCCCTGCTGCTGCTGCTGCTGCTGTTGCCCTTGTCTCCACCCCCTTTTTCCCGCCCTTCTTGCCTCCCTTGCCTCCTCCCCCTTGCGTCTCCCACACACCCTCCCCCTCTGCTGCTCCCCCTCCCGCGCCACCACCACCAGCCGCAGCAGCAACAGCGGCACCTTTCCCGCCTGCTGCACCCCCTGCAACCGCTGTGGTAACCAGCTTCCCTGCCTTCCCCTGAGCAGCGGAGCTATGTGTCGGTGGGAGTTTTTTCCGCCGGACAATCTCGGCTGTGAGGTCTCGCACAGACTGCAACGCTTGGGCAGCGGGCAGCAGCGGCTTCGGCTGCAGCAGGAGAGGCGGATTCGGCAGGGGACGGCGCTGAGGATTGCAGGCTGGAGAGGAGGAGGTTGATTCGCGACTCTGTTATGTTCACCAGCTGGGATAGCCGCCTGTCAGGGGAGAATAAAAGGGAAGGACAAGGAGGAGAGAGGGAGGGGGGGGCATTGGCTGGTGCTGGCGCTGGGGATTGCAGGCTGGAGAGGAGAAGGTTGATTCGCGACTCTGTTATGTTCACCAGCTGAGACAGCCGCCTGTAAGGGGATAAAGAGGGAAGAAGGAAACAGGAAAAAGGAGAGGAGCGGAGTGAGGAGAAAAGGTACCGAGGATAAGGAAAAGAGAAACTGGAGAGAGGGAGGTGGCAAAAGAGAGGAGGAGTCTCAGCCATTCTGTAAGAAACTGGGATGAGAGAATTTACCACGTTGCAAGGGGAGAGAAAGCGGAAGAAGAGGGGGACGGGGGTTCAGAGAGCACAGCAGCGCGTACACGCCACGAGCTGCTGCCCCCTCCCCTCCTCTGCAGCCGCCCCTGCTGCTGCATTTCTGATTTTTTTCGATCGGCACACAGAACAACTCAACTCTCATGAAGTTTGAAACGGCATAATAAAAGCAGAGGGGGAGGGGTTTCAGGGTTTCAGTTCAGAGAGCACTTACACGCCACGTGCTGCTGCTCCGCCCTCGTCTGCAGCCACTCCTGCTGCTGCACCTCCCACTGCGGCTGCTGCCGCTGCTCCTCCTGCAGCAATCATCTGCAGCTGATGCTCCATTGACGCCGCCTGGTGAACAGGGGAAAAGAGACGCAGGGGGGAATGCGGGGAATAAACATTTGCTAGTGCTATTGCTGCTGCCGCTGCCGCTGCTCCTCCTGCTGCAATCATCTGCAGCTGATGCTCCATTGACGCAGCCTGGACAACAGGGGCAACGAGAGGCAGGGTGGAAATCGGATGAATCAACATTTGCTAGTGCTGCTGCCACTGCCGCTGCTCCTCCTGCTGCAATCATCTGCAGCTGATGCTCCATTGATGCCGCCTGGACAAAGGCAAAGCGTGGAAAGGATGAATGGGACAAGCATTTGCTAGTTGTAGAAAGATTATTTTTGAGACGTCTCAAAAATAATATTTTTACACGTGCGACAGTTGCTGTGAGCTGCTGATCCCAAGTCCCCTTGCCTTGGCAAATGCCGAACTTCAAACTCCACCAATCCTTTCGTCCACGTCCCTTTTGACCAGGCAGGTCGTTTTTGAGGCGCCTCAAAAACGATCCCAAGTCCCCTTGCCTTGGCAAATGCCGAACTTCAAACTCCACCAATCCTTTCGTCCACAACCCTTTTGACCAGGCAGGTCGTTTTTGAGGCGCCTCAAAAACGATCCCAAGTCCCCTTGCCTTGAAAAATGCCGAACTTCAAACTCCACCAATCCTTTCGTCCACAACCCTTTTGACCAAGCAGGCCCCATGTCTTACAAAACGAGGTGACTTTTGAGTCGACTCAAAAGTCACCTTTTGCCCAGGCCCCATGTCTTACAAAACATTTTCTTACTTTGGCCTGCATCTCCTGCAGCTTCGAAGACACGCCAGCGTCACCAAGCTGTGCAGCAATGCGCTCCACTGCCCACCCTGACCCGCCCAACTGTGCATGGGGATGGGGGGAGGGGTGGATGGAAGTGTAATGGATTAGATTGGTGGAGTAACGGACTTGAGAGAGCACATCCTGAACGGATGTGCGACGAACTTTCAGGAAAAAAAACCACATGTTCAGCCCGAGAAGAAGTCCATCAGGAGTCGATGAATGTAAGGTGGCTCAAACAGAGAGGCAACCGCCCCCTTTACACGCACCTTCACTGCAGTCACAGCAGCAGCCAGTGCCTTAGCAGCTGCGCCACGCACATCCCCCCCCGCTGCTCCCTTGCCTGCAGATCCAGCTGTGAGGCCCAGGGTGGAGCCTTCCTCGGATAGCACCTGAGAGAGGTCCGATGCCACCTGAGAAATCACCTGAGCCGCCTCCTGATGGCCAAGGGAGACGGAGAGCAGCGCCTGATGGTGGTAGGTTCACGTTCCAAAGAGGAGGGCGTGGGGGGAGGAGGAGGTGGGGGAGAGGAGGGGAGAGGGATAATGGGAGGTGATAGGTTAGCGTTTAAATAAAGGGGGAGAGACGAGAGATGGGTTGGGGAAGGGGAGTGGGGGAGGGGGGGAAGGGGGGAAGGGGGGAGAGGAAGGAGTTGGGGGGGGAAGGAAGAATGATGGTGTTTCAGAGGGTAGATGGGAGGGGGGAGATGGAAGGGCGCAATGTGGCAGTAACAGGGAATCAAATGCGGATCGCATCAAATCCAACTAAGATCCGGCAGGTGGCGTGCACAATCCTACAGGAAATAAATCGCGGATCGCATCAAATCTGACTAAAGGTCCGGCAGGTGGTGTGCACAACCCTACAGGAAATAAATTGCGGATCGCATCAAATCTAACTAAAGGTTCGGATCGGCAGGTGGTGTGCACAACCCCTCTAGAACGCAAATTCTCCCTTCCTTCCCTCCCCACCCCTCTCCCATTCTCCCTTCCCCACCCATATCGCAGCAATCGTATCAGATCAAATCTACCTGGAGGTGCGGCAGGTGGTGGGGGTACAGAGGCAGTGTGATGCAGCTTTCTACCGTCTTCTCCAACGCGCGACTCCTCAAGAAAATCTGCCACAGATGGACATTTTGTGAGGTGCCGTTTGAGAAACAACTCAACCTTGCAGAGGGAAAAAAAAAAAAAAAAAAAAAAAAAAACCATTCTCTCCATTTTCTAGCAGCCGCTATCTTAAAAAGGATAAAAAAATTCCCAGATCAAACCAACCATAATCCGTCCGCTGATGCACCTATCCCACGCACCTCCTTCCAAGCTGTCGCAGTGCCAGGCGCGGGCAGTTGTTGCGCGCGCACAGTCCAGTCGTGCCACTGCCTCACCCGCGCCTCCGCATCCCTTCCGCACGCCTCCGCCGCCGCCTCCAACGCCGCGGCTTCCGCGCTGATCGCTCCCCCCGGGCCCGACGCAGGCGCAGCAGCAGCGGCGGCGTTCCCACCACGCGCAGTCGGAGTAGCGCCGGTGGCGGCGCCCGCGGATTTGGCCTGCTTTCCGCCTTTGGTCTTCCCCCCTTGCTGCCACGCTTCTTCCCGCGCGGCTTCCGCCCCCCATTCCGCCGGCATCAGCCCCCCCGTCTCATACGCCTTGGGATCCTTGATTAGCGGAATTTCCGTGCCGGCCGCTGGCGGAGATGACGGCGAAACTGCCGGCGCGGCGGCATTTTCTGCCGGTTTTGACGAGATCTCAGGAGCAGCGACTGCGCCATTGGCTGGCTCTTCCTCCTCGTCCCCCCATCGAGGCTGCCTCGCCTTTGCGCCTTTCCCCTTCTTCTTCTTCGCAGCGGAAGGTGCGGCGGAAGGTGCAGAGGCAGCTGCGGGGGAAGCTGCGTCTGCCTGGTGGCCGATCGAAGCAGCGGGAGCGGCTGCTGGAGGTTGAGGTTCGGTCGGTGCAGGCTGAACCACCTCCGACTCCTGCTTTTGCTGCTGCTGCGGCGGCTGCTGCTGCTTGGCCTGTTGCTGCTGGTCGTCTCCCTGAGATTGCTGCTGCTTCTTCTTCCGGTTTCGGCGGTTCTTGGATCCTCCGTCAGAAGCACCGACTGCGCCGCCTCCACCCGTCAGAAGGTCGAACGGGTTCTGCACGTGAGCCATTTTCCGTGAAGCTGCAGTCTGGACCCGTCAAGCTATGGAAAGTCTGGAGTTCCGAGCTGCAATGTCAGTGAATTTGTCCGCGAGGATTGACAAGGTGCTCCGAATCTATGAGAAAAAAAGCGGACCTTTTGGACTTAGATCAGTTTAAGGTGAAGATGATGGTTTCCAGTCGAAAATGGAAACCCGGTTCAGGAACATCTGAAACAGCACTCAGAATCTAACCAATCCCACCAATTCGTGAACCGCTTCACGCGAATTCGCAGATCTTACAGGCCAGCGGACCTGCTGATAGCGAAACGAGCTGAGAGGATCAGGCGATAAGACTGAATGGTCTTAGCAGGCCTGGGAGTGAGATTGGCCTGATGGTAGTTAGATTCCTGTGCTCCTTCCAGACCTGATGGTAAGAAATCTCAGATGTGTGAGGGAGAATGTCTAGAGGTCAAGAAAACTCCAATCTCGGCGAACGTCAGCTTTGCCTTGTCTTGGGATTGCTGCGATCATCCCAAGAAATCTATCGAGGGCGTATTTTTTCCGACCTGCATTGCCTTGGGATTGGCATGCAGCCCAAGAACAAGCACGCACGAACGTCGCAAAAACAGAGTTCGAGAAGTCTTGGGTAACTGAACATGAGTAGTGATTTCGTGACGGCGTCTGTATGAAAGTTTGGTTTGCAGTGATTCGTTTGTGCGTGAACCGGGATTTGTTCGCAAATGATCCGGGGTAGCGGAAAACACGCAGCAGAAAACCAAGCGGCATCGATGAGATAGTTCCGAGAGTTACGGATGACACTATCGAGATCCTCCTGAGTCAACAATCCGGGAGTACAGTGATTGAAGGGGCGTGGTGTAATACAGATTAGTCGATTAAATACACTATATACACTAGTACAATGGCAGGCTTAATTCCCCATCTAGGTCACCTCTGTTACTGTGCTGTAATCCTCCACAAACCAGGACTTTTTTGGGCTACTGAATGCCGGTAAAAATGATTTTACACTAGGAATGGCAAGAGACGCTGCGGAGTTACTGCCAACTGCTCTTTGGAGCACCAGTACAGAGCTCGCCCCTTGTAACAGCGTTACCAGCAGCACAGCAGCAATGGATGGTGCAAGGAAGACCCAAATGACTGCCACCCGCCGGCCCAAAAGCGTTTCATTCAGTCCACCCTCAAGGAAAATGCCAAACAATGCCTGACAGTGCAACAATGCAAAGAAAGAGGGGAGCAGGATAGGGCAAGTGAAGACGATGCTTCGAAAGAAAGATCTTTAGGCGTTACAATGGAAAAATAACTTGTCTAACAATGTTACCTGGTTTTTTAGGAGCCTTGCTTAGTACAAGAGATCTAAAATAACTTTAGGAAAACAATACACTGACCCTAAAAATACTGAAAATACCCTGAAGGTGCTTACCCCAAGAGAGGCTAGCGCGGCGACGTGGGAGGTGATAAGTGCGACGGATAGGAGGGAGGAGGAGAGGGAGAGGGGGATGATGAGAGAGGCATGTGAGCGGAGCAGGAGGAGGGACGTGTGGAGGGAGGAGGTGAAGCCTTTCCCAGTTGCTGCTGCGATAGGCAACATGAGCCTGGTGTGATAAGTGGTTGGAGAACACAAAAGCACACCTCACACACATGCACACTCACACATAAAACCAGACATGCAAGCACATGCACACCCACAAACACACACACACACACACACACACACACACACACACACCCCACACACACACAAACACACACACACACATGGACAAAAAAAAAGTGAAGACAAAAGGGGGCAGGGAGATAGAGGGATAGGAAGATGTTTGAAGAAGTGTTTTGAGACGTCTCAAAACGATGTCAAACTAAAAGAGCAACAAGCAATAAAAGGAAGCAACACAACTGAACTTGCGATGAAAACTAGACGAGAAAGGCCGTGGTAAAACTGTATTGAACCACGTGCCTTGTAAAGAAGGCGAGCAAGGGTGTGACACAAACGAGCGCCAGCACTCTGAGTAGCGTGAGAGAAGCAGATGCGGGCATGAGACGACGATCGTCCACTGAGGGAGAGGTGGAGGAGGAGGAGAATTGCGAGGAAGAGGAGTATGGTGAGGGAGTTGAGAGGAAGGGAATGGGGGGAAGGGAGGTGATGAGGGAGGAGAGGAGGACGGGGAGAGTGAGAGCGAGAGCAGCGGAGAGTGTGAGGATGAGAGAGATGGTGGTGATTGTGCCGAATGATGGGAACAGGGCGTGCCTGCAGTGGTGGGGTAAGGGAGGAGACGGGTAAGGGAGGAGACGGGTAAGGGAGGAGACGGGTAGAAGAGAGGAGGGGAGGCGACATGAGAGGAGGAGTTAAGGGGGGAAGGGGGTGAGAGAGACCGTGGTGATGGTGCCGAGTATCGCGAACAGAGCATGGCTGTAACAGTGGAATTGAGCATCACACCTTCTGATTTTTGAGCGCCGCAATAAAAAATAGTAAACAAAGAAAGAAAGAACGAAAGAAAAAAAAGAATACAAGCAAAAAAAATTGTCGTTGTGGTAATGTTGAGTAACCCGGCCTCGTCCATGCAAGAAGCTTACTCTCCTCTGAGCAGTCAGTGGACTGCTTGTGACCCGTGACCTCTGAGCAGTCAGTGGACTGCTCGTGACCCGTGACCTCTGAGCAGTCAGTGGACTGCTCGTGGACTGCTCATGACCAGTGACCCGGCCTCGTCCATGCAAGAAGCTTACTCTCCTCTGAGGACCCACACACACCACTACTGGGAAGGCAAATACCCACATCCCTTTCTGACGCACCTTCAGAGCAAGCGCACCTACCGGAGAGACAATGCTGAGTAACCCGGCCTTGACCATGCAAGAAGCTTCCTCTCCTCCATGGACCCACACAAGTCATCAACAGGAAATCGCTCTGAAGCCTCCTCTTCCATTTGCTCTTGGCCTATCCCTCCCACCCACCCTGTTGTTTCTTCAGGTTCAGCCCGTTCCTCCCTCAAACCATGAGTGATCCCTGCGGGTGGGCTATGGGTTACATCCCTGTCGAACGCTGTTTGAACTGTCTCAGAAAGAAGGGGGTTATGGGAAATAACCTCTTCTAACGCCTCACTGCTAATCGCCACTGCAGCTGTTGTCCCCAATAACCCTGCTGCTGTTGTTTCAGTTTCAGCACGACCCCTTATCAAGTTATTTCCAGGAATCATTGATGTGTTAATTAGAATACCCTCCTCAAACACCTCACTTCCAACCGCCGCTGCAGCTGCGAATTGCACTGCCAAGACCAGACTGACGGCCAGCCACAGACTTGCCAGCTGGCCGGCTGTTCTGACGGCCAGATGGAGCCAGAGGGGGAGACGGCAGGCGAGGGCCGAGAGGAAGTGAGTGAGGGAGGGGAGGAATGTGGGGGGAGATGGGGTGGGGGTGGTAATGGCGCTGTGGGTGGAGGAAGAAAAGAAAGAGGAAGAGGAGGAAGAGGAAGAGGAGGAGTGGAAGGAAGAAGAGGAGGAAGAAGAGGAGGAGTGAGGGATGTAGGTCATTTGAGCGGAGATGAATCCAGCACCAGCACCCCATGCTCCCTCCTGCTGCTCCTCCTGCTGTTGCTGCTCCTGCTGGCCGTTCTGCTGCTGTTGCCTCTGCGCCTCTTTCTCCTCCTCCTCCGCCCCCTGCTGCTGCTGAGCAGCTAAGGCAACTGCAGCTCTATCCATGGAAAGGAAAAAAGGGGGGCAGTGGGCTGGGAGAGAGGGGGAGGACAGAGAGGACGGCAGGGAGGGTGGTGGCATGAAGGATCCTTGTGGGGAGGAGGACGAGGAGGAAGAGAAGGAAAAGGTCGAGACAAACAGCGGAGCAAGGAAGCTTCCTAGGACCGCGAGGAGGGCTATGAGGGAGAAGAGGGGGCGGGCAGGGGAGCGGCGGTGGGAGAGAGAGAGGGCGGAGTGGGAGGTGGTGCTGACGGCCAAGGCATAGTGCAAATGGGGAAGGCGGGGGGGAAGGCGGGGGGGAAGGCGGGGGGGAAGGCGGGGGGTAAGGCGGGGGGTAAGGCGGGGGGGATTGGGGGATTGGGGGGGATGGAAGGAGCGCGGGGTTGGGGAAGGATGGGAACTGTCGCAGGAGGTGGAGGGGAGGAACTGGATGGAAGGAAGTTGGGGTTGGGACGAGGAGGGTGTGGAAAAATGAAGAGGTGAGGAGACGAGGGGAACGGAGGAGGGAGGGAGCTGGAAGGGTGTAAGATGGTTTGATCCGTGATGCAGAGATGAAACTGCCTGAACGGCTTCTGCCAGGATGATTTGATGCAGAGATGAATCTGCCTGGGATGGCTTCTGATCATAGCTTGATGCTGCGAGTTCGAAAAATGAGCCGGAAAGAGGTGGCGGCGGCGGCTGCTGCTGCTGCTGCTGCTGCTCCTGTTCCCCCCATTCCTCCTCTTCCCTTCTCCTCCTCTTCTCACTCACTCCCTCTCCTCTCCCAGACCCCAGCCCCAGTAGCAGCAGCAGGGAGGCAGCAAGAATCAGAACAAGAAGTGAAAACACCACTACCCACGTGCTACTCACTTCCAAGGGCTTATACCATGTACCGTACCAGTCCCATAACGAGGACAGAGGGGAGAAATGGCGAAAGGAGGTGTAGCGTTTGTAAACGAAACCACCACCTGCAGCACCACCAGTAGCAGCACCATTACCACCAGTAGCAGCACCATTGCCACCAATAGCTCTAGTACCACCGAATTTTCCCCACATTACCCAGTTCCTCCTCCTTCCCCCAACCATCCGCCCCACTCCCCGTCCCACAAATCCTCCCCCTTCCCTGATCCCTGCTCCCCCTCCCCCTCCCTCTCCCGCTCCCCCTCCTCCTCCCCCTCCTCCTCCCCCGCCCCCTTCCCCCTCCTCCTCACTCGCTTGTAGCAGGGTCAGTAGGGAAGAGAGAAGACGAAGGGGACGCAGCGGGGCGAGGAAAAAGACAAACTGGTAGGCGGTAAATCCCGCCGCCAGCAAGGCAAGAGATCCTTCTAGTGGCGTCATGTGGCAGATAAGGACAGAAAGTGCCGCCCCTGCGATTTGTGGTATGAGCTTGTCGGTGCTTGGAGAGAAGGACTGGGAGGAAGTTTCCAGGAAGGGGGAGGGGGGTGGTTGGTGAAAGAGAGAGGAGAGGGCGTGTATGGCAACGAACGCCACTGTAACAGATGTGCTTATAACGAAGATGGCGGCAACTAGTTTATCACGGGGTTCACGATTACAGACTGGAATAAAACGGATAAGATTCTGTGCCACGTCAGCAGCTCCACAGAATCTCCTCCTGCCCCCACCACTGCCACGTGGACCACTCAAACTCCCAGCCCTGTCATCATCCTTCCCAAGATCCTTGGAGCCAATAGCATTCTCGCCAGCTCTGACCTCAGGTGTCGCCTCCGGAAGAGCTCTTAATCGCCAGATACGTTCGAAAAACGAGAACCACGGGTGCATCTTCCCAGGTGTTGCCTCAGGTGCTTTCTCAGGTGTTTCCTCAGGCTTTCTCCACAAAGGTTTGACAGAAAGTGCGGATCTACCCACAAGGGCTGTGCCTTCCCCGTCGAACCAATCATCCTCCTCTTTGTGGGTTGGAGAAGAATCCTCCTCATCCTCCTCATCCTCCTCATCCTCCTCATCCTCCTCATCCTCCTCATCCTCCTCATTTTTGAGGCGCCTCAAAAATCGCCTAGGAGAATCCTCCTCCGACCTTCTTCGCTCCCCCTGCTCTCCCTCCTCCTCCTCCTCGACTTCCTCCTCCCCTGATCTCCTAGCTTCCCTGCCCTCCTCTCTACCACCACTCTTCTCGCCTCCGCTCCGTCTCTTCTCTGGTGAACGCCGATCCGGTTCCTCTCCTTCCCCTCCCTCTCCTCGCTCTCCCCCCTCTCCTCGTTCTGCTCGCTCTTCTCCCATCTCCTGTCGATTCTCCGAGCGATCGTCCAATTTCCTCCCGCGAGAAAGCCAAAGAAAAGTCGCGCGGAAAAACTTCGACCTCCGCAAGCCGTGACGCGCGAGTGAGCGCGACCCCCGCTGACGCGTTGCGTAGGAATGAGCGTTGTAAAAAGAGTCAACTAACTGAGAGCACTCGCAAGGCGAAAGCACGAGAAGGGCGATAGCAGGAGGGAGAGAAGGAAGAAAACAGCACGGCAGCAGGGTGGAATTCGAGAGACTCACCGTACTACACCTGCTTGGAGAAAGAAAGGGGCCTATAACGCGAATGCAGCATTTTGAAAGAAGCTACAGAATCACATTCGCTCTCTGACATAACATGATGTCTCAAGCTGGTGAAAATTCTTTATGGAAGCTTTACCTATTGTTCAGCCTCTCCCCCATCCTGTTGAGATAGCAATGGATATGCAACTTGGGATGGTCATATATAGGAATAAGGGGTGTATTCAACCATTTTGGTGATACATCGTAATTGCATTTGAGCCATATATTATTGCCTTGTTACTATTTCAAGCAGAAGGTATTACCTTTTCCATATTTCACATGTTGGATACCTCAATAAGTGCCATGAGTCGATTCAATGGTATTTATACATTATGTATAATTAAGGAAACTAAGAGCGATCCATGCTTAAGGAATAAAGTAGTGTTAAATAAGAGTGTTGGATGTTGAAGCTGTAGTTAAGACGAGAATGGTTTTGAAGAAACGGATCTTCTATCATTGTGTACTGTACATTCTCCATCGACTCCACTCTTCCTATTGGCCCCAAAGCTTGAATGCATGTGGAGAGATTCTCGACGATCTTCTGGGGCGGCTTTACCTCCCCTGCCGCCAATCTCAAGATCGGTGATAAGATCGCGCATGCTTGTGGAGTTTGCAAGTGGAGCTTGGCTGCATGTGTGGTTCGGTTTGACCTACACCTTTTGAGGGCACAAAAATAAGGAAAGGGCGGTAAGTAAGCGTTGTTCCGTATTCTTTACCAAGGAAAGAACGGTACACGTAAATATGTCCCCGTAACTCCGAACAGTCAGGGGTTGATTCGGCAGAAACCTCACATCAACAGCACAGACTCGCAATGTTTTACTGCACAGCACAGCATTTTTTTCCAGAAATGGTAGGTGTGATCGGATGATACGTGATTCTGCTAGATTCGATCACAGGCAGCACTTCGGGCCACCGCATGCGGAACGCAGGCCATTTTATGCCATACGTTTTGGTGAAGGCCATTCTCTTGTCAAAAACATCGAGCCACCAGCCGCATTCTGGACGAGGATTCAGGAAAAGGTGGTGGCTTGGGATGTTGAAGGAGGGTTTTTTGGGGAAGGGGAGGGGGGGGGGGGGGGGGGGTCACTGGGTGTGCTGGGGTTGCACTCAATTGTGCACAGAAGCAGCCACTAGTGGTCCTTGTATGACTGTCTGTCAATGAAGGTCTCAGTCCAGATTTGACTTAGTTCACAAAGAACGGATGGTTTCACCAGAAAGTAAGGCGCTAACCGACGTCACTTTCTTAAGTGACGGGCAATACGCGCTTAGAAAAGTTCACTACGTTATCAGTAGAATAGGAGCCCGGAATCCACCCGTCAGAATGGATGAGCAGTTTTCCCATACACCGTTCAAGCCTGACGGGCATGGCGGTGGCAGCCCGCGTATCATGTCGGATCCTGTCATTTACTGTACAGATTGCTTCGCCATCCACAGTACGAACCCCTCAGCGTTGTACTTTCTGTTCATACACTGTGCCTCATTTCGTACTCGTATAACATTTTTTGCGAAATCGTGGCTCACAAAGCTCCGCTTGCGAAACTTTTAATTGAACGTCTACATTTTAAAGCACGGCCCTTATGGTGTCCACAGTTCGTATGTTGCTATTTTATTGTGACTCCAACTTCTGCAGATCGGTGCGATGCGTTTCACAAAGCTGTCCAAGGTTTTTGTATGTTCGGATGCGGTGGGCAGAAGCCACACAGAAACGTTTAGCAAGTCTGCTGCTTTGATGCCTTTTTTTTTGTAATCGTCAAGCTAACGCCGTTGTCGGTCCGGCTTCGAGATTACCTTGTGCAGCACTGTTGATGGTGGTTTCCTGAGTTGATTCACCTCACCTCACCTACAGCCCCTCTGTCCAGGGCCAAACCAAACCAGCACTTGGCTGGCAGATGAGTGAAGCAGTTATCACTGTAGACTTGATGAGCGTGTGATGCCGTGCCAGCACATTTTCTCCCTGTCAGTGCTAGCAAGATTAGTAAGGGTTTCAGGTGGTAGGTTACGTCATGGCACTTAGTAGTTTAGGGATGACCAAATCGAACGCTTTTCGCCGGCGTCACGAGCAGTGTCGCCGGTAGGTCGTACATAGGTTTTTAGTAGGTCGTTTACACTAAAGGGTACCATGCCTCATCGCTCGCGGGTCCCGGATCCCGCGGCGGGAGCAGCCGTTTCACTTTCACATGGAGATGTGCTGACGTCGCTTCTCGATCTGACGGCTGCGGTCGTCATTGCCGCCAGAGGCGCTAAGATTTTATCTGCTAGGTATCTGCCTGGGAAATACTACAAGTCGAGTCATTGTGATATTTCTCCGAGAAAAGTCATGGTTAAAATAATATTCATGCAGTTGCGGATAGTGAGCTGGATACGCATTCTGCTGACTTAAAAGTGCTTCGATTTTTTTCAAGAGGGATTTCATTAAGTGGTCATTGTTTCTAGTAAGCACGGTCTTTAGACGACTTTTGGATACGTTGAGCGTGTCATCATCCTCACACATGCATTTTCTGTCGCTAAATTCCTCGCCAATCATTCCCGCCTGTTGTTGATCAAGGCTTCTAAACCGGGCATGTTAGAAGCAATTTTAAGGATGTTACGTGCAGTAAAGTGTAACACGCTCCTCTTCAATCTAACCATCCTGTGCCTCGGTCTTTTTCTGAGTTACTAAGTTACCAATCCGTGTGCAAAGGCGGAGATGCTAAGGCTTTATTGTACTTTTGGTTTCCAGTGAATTGTATGTCATCATATCATGTTCACGGTCATTCTTCGTTTAGCTGTTTTTTCTCCAGTAAATCCAGACGTGGCTCGAACTCCTTTCTCTCCTCAGCATCACCACGAATGGCTGCATCGTATTTCTGCTGACCACCCACTCGCTTGTCTTTCTCTCTCACTCTCTCTCGCCCTCTTGCATGGCGTTCCCCCCTTCATCCCTCTGGTTTGATTCAGCATGGGTGCGTGCGATCTGCTGCGAAAGGAACCAAGGTCTCCACGCTGGAAGGAACCGATCTGAAGTCCTCTGGCTTCTCTCCACCCGCTCTCTCCTTCCCATCCCTCGCCCCCCTTTTTCTAACCCCCCTTGTCTCCATCAGCGAGGGTGCGTGCGAGCTGCTGCAGCAGGATCTCTAGAGAACCGATGCTGGAGCCCCCTTTGTCAAGATAGTAAAGATAGTTAAGAGCCATAGCTAGGAGAACCCTAGCTAGGCAAGAGAAGTTTAGGCAAAGAGGGGTTGCACTAGTAAGAATGGGGATACAAATAGCAAACCCTAGAAGGGTTGTACTTGCTATAGAGCACCCCACTACAGGCTAGAGCATAATATTTTGACACACCCCCATAGCCAAAGTGGGGTGTAATCAGCAGAGCAAACAAAGCAGTACAAGCTCAGGGTGGATCACAATGTCACCACACATTCTGAGCACAAGTTCAAGAAGCAATAGTTTAAAGTTCACAATTATGAGCAAAGCCAGTGGTAGTCACAACGGGCAAGTGAGGAGGAGGAAAGAGACTATGAGAGGAGAGGAGGTAGTGGGCGGCAGCTGAAGCTGCTGGCACACGGCGCAACTGGAGCAACTGGCACACGGGCAACTGGAGCAACTGGCACACTGGCAACTGGAGCAACTGGCACACGGGCTACTGGAGTAACTGGCTCCGCGGCTGAAAGTAGCGGCAGACGAGCAACGGACTCACGGGCGACTGGAGCAACGGGCTCACGGGCGACTGGCGCAACGGGCTCACGGGCGACTGGCGCAACGGTCTCACGGGCGACTGGAGCTGCTGGCTTCACGGCGGCCACCCCCTTCAACCTCCCCAAACTATCCCACTCCCCCTGACACACACCCGCTGCTACACCGCTAGCTCCACTCCCCCTTCACCCCCCCTTAGTACCACTCCAACGGCTCCAACAAGTCCACCCCCCCTCAGCGGCAGCTGCAGCACAGGGAGACGGAGGAGGAGGAGGAACAGGGAACGGCACTCAGTGGCTTCACCCCCATACCCCTCACCCCCAAACCCTAATTCAGGAGAACGGGCTGTAGGAGGGGTGGGGCGCCAGTAGAAGCACGGGGGACAGTGGGGAGGGCAGGGGCAGCGAGGAACGGGCCGCCCACGGGCCTGGCATAGCCGCCCGAACCGCGCGCAGGCGGCCCGAGCCGCGCGCGGGCCTGGCGCTTCCCGTACGGGCCGCGCGCGGGCCTGGCGCAGCCCGTACGGGCCGCACGCCGGCTGTACGGGCCGCGCGCAGGCCACGACGGGCGACGGGGGGCGACGCGCGGGTCCCCGTCGCCCGTCGCAACGCCTCCCGGGGGCGACGCGTCGAGTGACGGGGCAGAAGCCCGCCGCGCGCCTCGGGGCGCACAGCGGGCAGAGAACCGCCGCGCGCCACGGGGCGCACGGCGGGCAGAAAACCGCCGCGCGCCTCGGGGCGCACGGCGGGAAGAAAAAACTGCCGCACGCCACGGGGCGTGCGGCACATAGAGTAGCAGCGGAAGTTGCAGCGGAAGCAACGAGGTGGTGAGCCCACCCACAGGATCGATCCAAAGGGATCGACCTGCTCTGATAGCATGTCAAGATAGTAAAGATAGTTAGGAGCCATAGCTAGGAGAACCCTAGCTAGGCAAGAGAAGTTTAGGCAAAGAGGAGTTGCACTAGTAAGAATGGGGATACAAATAGCAAACCCTAGAAGGGTTGTACTCGCTATAGAGCACCCCACTACAGGCTAGAGCATAATATTCTGACACCCTTGTCGTGTCTCCACCCACCCTCTTCTCCTTTCCCTCGCTCCCCGTTTCTTACTCTCCTTTCTTTCCATCACCATGGGAGCGTGCGAACTGCTGCAGCAGGAGCCGGGGTCCTAGAGAGCCGATCCACGTTGAAGTTCTGCTGCCTTCTCTCCCCATCCCCCGCTCCTCCCTTTATCTCTAACAGCCTAGGAGCGTGCGAGCTGCTGCAGCAGGAGCCGGGGTCGCTAGAGAGCCGATCCATGCTGGATCCGCTGCCTCCCTCATCCCCATTCTCCCCCCATTCTGTTCCATCAGCATGGGAGCGTGTGAGCTACTGCAGCAGGAGCCGGGGTCGCTAGAGAACCGATCCATGCTGGAGCTGCTCCATCTCAACGACCAACCGCTCTTCATGGTGCTCCCACCTGGATCTTTGTTTGTTTGTTTTATTATTATTTTTATTATTGCAATCACGTTTAACGCGTCGCATACATCCGCGTACTTGCATGCAATCTGTGCGCATGCACACGTGTCCTTCCCTCTTCTTTCCCCGTTCCCACTCTCTTACTCACTTACTCCCCGAGAACCTCAAAACTCACTTCCAAAAATCACCTCCACGTTTTTTCTCCACCGGCTTTTAACAGGACACGCTGGTTAAGTGCGCGCGCTTAGCTCCCGCCAGCAGCACGGCGCCGTCCTTCCGCCCATGCACTGCACACGTAGCCACAGGAACCAGCCAACCCACCTATGGGGGCACGTTCCCTGACGCCCCTCAGTTCTCGCAGCAGCAGCAGACTTACGGGGGACGGCAGGCTATTGGGTATACACCGCCTTGGGCTACAATACCCGCTACAACCCCCGCTACAACACCTGCTACAGGCCCCGCCTTAAACCCCTTCAACCCGCTGCACCAGGAACCTCACGGTTGTTTCTCAGGCGCTTCTACTGCTGGGGCTGCCGTTTCGGGCAGCGGTGGAAGAGTTTTGCCCGGGCAGCAGCAGCAGCCGCAGCAGCACCAGCTGCACGTGCGTCTGAGGGTGGATGAAGACGCAGAGGGAGAGGATCCGCACACAGAGCAGCAGTTCGTGTGGGTGCGCGCGCGGATGCTGCCTGTAGTGGCAAGGAGACAAGCAGTGGGAGAAGCGAGGAGGGATGCGCGGGGAAGGGAGTCAGAAGGAAGTGATGCAGCGTTTGTGCGAGGGCAGGCAGGAGCAGCGGGTGCTGGAGAAGGAGAAGGGGCAGGTGGGGCAGCAACAGCAGCAGGAGCAGGAACAGCAGGGACAGCAGCAGCAGCGGGCAGCAGAGGAAGGCTGTCAGTTGTGTGCGTTTTCGAGGAGCTTGAGGTGGTTCCGGCTTCTGTGGTTGCACCTGAAGCTGCGGCTGCAACAGCCGAGCTGGCACCCTTTCCAGACCGGACTGGTGCCTCTGCTGCTGTTGCTGCTGCCGGTACCACTTTTGCCGCTGTTGCTCCCGCTCGTGGTCTCGCTGCTGCGGCTGCTGCCTCTGCTGCTGCTGGAGATACCACTGCATCTGAATCTCTTTCACCTTCCCCTCTTCCAGATGCTGCTATGGTAGCTGCTGTACCAGGTGCTCCCCCTGCTCTTGCGCTATCAGAAGCAGTCGGCACGCATACCCCAGCCCTTAGTCCTTTCCCGCAGCCCTCCAGCGCTGAGCGTGTGCAACGCGCAGCAGGAGCAGCAGCAGGAGAATTTGCTGATAGAGCAGTAGCAGCAGCAGTCGCGTACGCCACAACTCCCTCTGCTGCCGCCGCCGCCGCCGCTGCAGCACCAACGGCAGCAGCAGCAGAAGCAGCAGTCGCATCAGCTGCTTCAGTTGCCGCCACCGTCCTTGCTGCCGCAGCTCCAGCAGCAGCAGCATCACGAGCAGCAGCAGTAGGAGGATTATCAGGAGCCAGACTGCAAGCAGCCCCCCTTTCTGCTGCGTTAGCCCCAGCTATCCCCAGCTCCTCTCCTCTCGTCCCCCCAGCGACGGCTGTAGCAGCTGCAGCGGCTGTAGCGGCCGCAGCAGCAGCCGCTGCAGCCACCCGCAAGCCTCAACCCGCGCCTGTGACTATAGAGAAGAGGAAACAGCCCATGAGCCTGCCTACTCTCCCCCGATGGCGTTCTAACGAGGATCTTGTAGAGGAGGGGGATCCGCTAGAAGATAGGCATTTACTGGATCAGCTACCAACGAGGATAGAGGAGATTAAAGCACGTTTGGAGAGTGGAGGGGGTTTGGAGGAAGAAGCGCCTAGAGTAGGAGCAGGGGAGAGGAGGCGGCAAGGGGATTTGGGGAAGTGGCATGGAGGGATGGGAGGGCGAGGGAGTCTGGGGCAAAGGTGGGGTGAAGGGGCGAGTGCTGAGACGAAGATAGGGCGGTTGTTGAGGCAGGAGAAGGGGGGGAGCGGAAAGTGGGAGGAGGAGAGGAGAGGGGGAAAGGAGGAGAGGAGCGAGGGAAAGGAGGAGAGGAGCGAGGGAAAGGAGGAGAGGAGAGGGGGGAGCAAGGGGAGTAAGGGAGACGTGGAGAAGAGCACGAGTGGGTGCAACAGCGCTGCTGCTGTTCGAGTGGGTGGTGGGGCTGTGGTAACTGACAGCGGGGCAGCTGGAATTTGTGGCTTGAACGATGGGAGCACTGAGAGGGAGGTGTTATCTGGGGAAGGTGTGCTGGTAACTTACGGTGTGCACCTGAAGAGGGCACTGGAAGGGGAAGAGGAAGGGGACGCGGAAGGGGGTGTGACTGTAGCGGATGAGCTAATGGAGGAGAGGATGGGGGACATGGGAGGAAGGGGCAGAAGCCTCGGTGCTGGTAGCAGCAGCACGGACCTTCCTTCTGTTGCTGTTGCCGACGCTACTGCTGCCACCGTCACTGCTGCTGCTGCTGGTGTTGTTGGTGGCGCTGCTGCTGGTGGTGATGGTGATGCTGTTGGTGCTACTGTTGCTACTGCTGCTGCTGTAGAGGCAGCTGAAAGGGAGGGGGTATTTGAGAGGATTCATGCACCACAGGTGCTGGCAGGGCCGTTTCCAGAGCCAGCAACGGAAGGGAGAGGTAAAGGGAAGCAGGTGGGAGGGCAACAGATAATTTTGATGGCTGACACCCACATAGCTGATGCTGATGTTGCTGATGGTGCTGATGGTGGTGATGGTGCTGATGGTGCTGATGGTGGTGATGATGGTGATGCTGCAGGTGGTGATGCTGCAGGTGGTAATGTTTCTGCTGCACGAGTGATGCATGAGGTTAAGGGGGAGACAGGAGCTGAATCGAGCGTCAAGGCTGGAAGAATGGGGGCAGCTGCAGCTTCCTCTGCTGCCGCGGGTTCACACGCTAAGTCCGCTGCTGCTGCTGCTGCTGCTTCTGCCGCTGCTGCTGCTGCTGCTGCTGGTGGTGCTGCTACTTGTTCCGCGTCTGGTTCTGCTTCTGCGGCTTGTTTCAGAGCAGATGCGGGAGTGGGAGAGGTGGCTGTGACGAGGGGAGGTGAGGAGTCGGGTCTTTGGACCGATTTCCTCAAGAAAGGGTTGACTCGGCTGTTGGAAGCCCCGAACGCGCCCAGTGATGATGATGACGATGATGGTTATGATCGTGACGTGGAGGAGAAAGAGGAGGAGGGCGGAAAGGACGAGGAGACGGGGGAGAGAGGGAACATGGTTGGGAGGACAAAAGGTGTGGCGGAGAGAGCAGGGGGCGTGGTGGATCTGCCGAGTATAGGCAAGGGGAGGGAGAGCGGGGAGGCAAGAGTGAAGGGGGAGGGGGAAGCTGCTGGAAAGGCAGGTGAGGAGGAGGAGGTGGAGGAAATTGTGAGGGTCAAACCGGGTGGGATGGGGATGGGAATGGGAATGGGGATTGGGACGGGGATGGGGGTGGATGCAGCAGCAGCAGGGAGAGGGGAGGATGGACAAGGAGGGGATTTTTTGCCACCAGGGGTGCAAGCTGCTGCTGCTGCGGCAGCAGGGGGAGGGGTGGCGGATTCAGATAGCCTAAGCAAGTACTTTTCTGCATCGGTAAGTCGATTCCTCCCTCTCTCCCTCCAGTTGTGCTCCTCAGAAGAATTTTGCATGTGCTCCAGATTTCGTTCTTCCCTTGTGCTCCAGATTTCGTTCTTCCCTTGTGCTCCAGATTTCGTTCTTCCCTTTTGCTCCTGATTTTGTTCTTCCCTTTTGCTCCTGATTTTGTTCTTCCCTTTTGCTCCTGATTTTGTTCTTCCCTTTTGCTTCTTCCGCACCCCTCTCTCTCCCTCTTTCATTTCGCCCTCCCTCCCCCCCTACCTCCTCCCTCCTTCTCCCCTTTTCCTCTCCTCCCGTCCCTCCCTCCTCGCCTCCTGCAGGACCCCATATTCGTTTGTAAGAACCTCACTATAGTCGACTGCAACGACAGCGCCGCCCGAATCCTCCGCGTCGCCCACAACGAGCGCAGCACCCGAATCTTCGGCCAATCACCAGTCGTCTTCTCGCCGCCAGTGCAACCCGAGGGAATCCTCTCAGCAGTAGCAAGCGAGCAGCGCTGGCTGGACATCGCCACGAGCAACGGCCGCCCGTGCCGGTTCCCCTGGGTGCACATGTCGATCGACGGTCAGATGTTTCTCGTGGAGGTGATGGCGATGGTGCTCGTGAACGGCCCAGATACGTTCCACATCACCATGTGGAAGCAGTTCCTCAACTCCTCGTCTCTTTCCCGGGAATTGAGGCTCGCCGCCCGCGCGAAACGGGCAGCCGAGAGGTCGCGGGTTCAATTCCTGGCGAACATGAGTCATGAGCTGAGAACCCCGATTAATGGCGTGTTGGGGTATGCGCAGCTGATGATGCAGACCCAGCTGGATCCGGAGCAGCAGTCGTACCTGCAGAGTATATACGAGTCTGGCGAAGTGCTGCTGGGGACTGTCTCTCAGGTAAGCATTTCTTTTAGCATGAGGGTTAAGTGAGGTGAGTGGGATATGCACAGTTGATGATGCAGACCCAGCTGGATCCAGAGCAGCAGTCGTACCTTCAGAGTACATACGAGTCGGGGGAGGTGCTCTTGGGGACGGTTTCTCAGGTAAGCCCTTTTTTTATTGCTGCCGATTCTAGTTGTGTATGATGTGGTATGATCGATCCGCCTCTTCAGAGCCCATCACCACCCCATAACACCCATTCTTAACCCTTAACGCTGCTCCCGAACCTCTTCAGACCTCTATCTTCAACCCTTGACACCCCTGTTCATTTCTTTAATCTTGTCAGGTGCTGGAAATGAGTCAGCTGCAGAAGAGGGAGGTGGTGCCAAGGCGCGTGCGGTTTGACCTTCACAGGGCCATTGGGGAGGCGGCAGGCAGCATGCGACCTACCTTTAATTTACGTTCTGTACCCCTCTGCACCGCCCTGCACCCTTCTACACTCTCTCGTCTCAGGTGTTGGAAATGAGTCAGCTGCAGAAGCGAAAGGTGGTGCCAAGGCGCGTGCGGTTTGACCTTCACAGGGCCATTGGGGAGGCGGCAGGCAGCATGCGACCTCTGGCGCACAGGAAGGGCCTGCAGGTGGGTTCTGATGGGTGCTGATTGGTGCTGGTGGGTGCTTTTGGGTGTTTGTGGGTGCGTGTGGGTGCTGGTGGGTGCGGGTTTGGGCTTTCTTCTTACTTCCCAACCATCCATGCTGCACTACCCTATCTCACCGTTGGTCTGCCATTCCCCCCTCCTCCCCTCCTCTCCTCCTCCCCTCCTCCATACTTTTCCAGTTCGGGATAAGCATGGACAGGGCAGTGCCGCACGCAGTGCTGGGGGACCCATCCATGCTGCGCCAGCTGCTGCTGCACCTGCTCTCCAACGCCCTCAAGTTCACCCACCAGGGTACCGTGCAGCTCACCATGCGCGTGCTGACCCCTCCTGGTGCTGGTGCTGCTGCTGCTGATCGTTCTCTCGCTTCCTCCCTCTTCTCCCGTGCATCCCCCCTCCTCCCCTCTTCTCTCCCGCCTTTTCCAGTTCGGGATAAGCATGGACAGGGCAGTGCCGCACGCGGTGCTGGGACACCCATCCATGCTGCGGCAGCTGCTGCTGCACCTGCTCTCCAGGCTTCTGCTGGTGGTGCTGCTTCTCCTGCTTCTTCCCTCTTCTCACATGCCCCCCCCCCCACCCCCTCTTCTTGAGGCGCCTCAAAAAAAGCTGATTCTCCTGCTTCTTCCCTCTTCTCACATGCCCCCCCCCCCACCACCCCCTCTTCACCAGTTCGGGATAAGCATGGACAGGGCAGTGCCCCATACGGTGCTGGGAGACCCATCCATGCTGCGGCAGCTGCTGCTGCACCTGCTTTCCAACGCCCTCAAGTTCACCCACCAGGGCACCGTGCAACTCACTGTGCGTGTGCTGCCCCCTCCTGGTGCTGGTGATGGTGCTGCCACTGCTGCTGGGGGAGGGGGGACGGGAGGAGGGAAGCAGAAGGGTGCGGGTCGGAGGGTGTCGCAGGTGAGGTTGGGCAAAGCAGGGGAAGGGCGGCAAGGCGGCTTGTTGGGGAGAGAGCAGCAAGAGCAGGAGCGTCAACAGGAGCATCAGCAGGCGGAGGCGGGGGAGGGCTGTTCTGCTGCTGGCTCTCAGGGTGTGTGGGGGAGGAGTGAAGGGGGAGGAACAAGTGGAAGGGAGAGTGGGACTGTTGGGGCAGGTCGATTAATGACTGTTTCAGAAGCCGAGTTGTTGCCAGAGGCTGCTGAGAGGGAGAGGAAGGAGAGGGAGAGGAAAGTGAGGGAGAGGGAGGAGAGGGAGAGGGAGGAGAGGGAGAGGGCGGAAAGGGAGGGGAAAGCGCGGGAGGGGGACGAAAACGAGGGGGAAGAAACCGAGAGGGAAGAGAGGGAGAAAGACGGATCTGAGAGAAAGACAGACTCTGAGTTCAAGGGATCGAAACAGATCACAAGGCTTTCTTTTGAGGTGGTGGATACAGGAGTGGGAGTGCCTCCCAATATGCTGCATCAAATCTTCAAGCCCTTCGTGCAAGTGGACGACTCCGCCGCCCGGGAGTACCAGGGCCTTGGGCTGGGATTGGCTATCGCGCAGTCGCTTGTGCGGCTTCTGGGCGGCGAGGGGATACATATTGAGAGCGAGCCGGATAAGGGGTCGTGTTTTGCGTTTACCCTTCCTTTTGAGGTGTGGAGGGGGGAGAGGAAGGGGGGGAGGGAGAAGAGGAAGGGAAGGGAGGGTGAAAGTGTGGGTGGGGAAGGGGCTGGAATGGAAAGGAAGGAGGTGGAGGGAGAGGGGCGATCAAGGAGAGAGGTTCTTGGAGGGGATAACGGAGAGGTTTTTGAAGGGGGGTTTTGGGATAACGGCCGAGGGGGGCCCAAACGAGCAAGAAAAGGTGGGGAGAGGATATTTGGGGAAAGATCAGGTGAGGAGAGGCTCCAATCGTTTGAGTCTGATAGGGTGGGGTTTGGTGGGTTCCTAGCAGAAGGGAGCGAGCGTGGGGAGAGTAGTAGGGCAGGAAAAAAGGGAGAGGATGCGTGGAAGGGTGGTGCAGGGGGTGTGAAGCGGAAGAGAGCAGAGGAGGGTGGTGGTGATGAGGAGATGGGGATGGGGCAGGGTCGTCAGGGGGAGGGGGTAGGGGGTGGGATGTGGGGGGAGGTGCAGGGGGGGCGTTGGGGGGAGGAGCAGGTGGGGGAGTGGGGGGACGAGGGAAGTGATGAGATGGAGGAGGAGAGAGGGAAGGAGAGAGGGGAGGGGAGGGGGGAGAGCAGAGATGTGTTGGCACGGAGGGAGGAGGCGAGGAGAAGGAAATGGAGGGTGCAGCACGACAGGGGATTCTTCAGTGGGGCAAGGCGTGCGAATAAGCATGACCAGTGGGGCCTTCTTGCTGGCTCTAGTCCTGCTTTTGAAGCCCAACAGAAGCATGACCAGGGGTTTTCCAGTGGGGCTGGGCTGAGAGGGGAAGGGCGCTTTGCTGAATCAAATCCCTTGGGTGCCGCACTAATCCGAACCACCAGCCCTGTCAGAGCTGCTCTGCTCCAGTCTGAAATCCCTATGGGCGCTTCTATAGGCGCTCCTATAGGTGCTCCTAGGGATGATCCTAAGGGTGCTTCCCTGGGTGCTTCCCTGGGCGGTTCTCTGCGGGATTCTGCCAGTGAGCCCCTCTCACGCGCCCCTCAAGTGCAAGCCCAGGGAGATGGGCTGTTCACAGGTGCACCTGTGAGCGCTGATGTCCCTCAGGGGGGCCGCACACCAGAGGGGTGTGAGGCTGCTGCCGAGATGCTGCCCGTGCGTCGGCCAGGCTCGGGTTTAAGCGCAGCCTTAGGTTCAGATTTAGGCTCGGGAAGCTTGGGGTTGGGTTCGGGGTTAGGCTCTGGTTCAGGTTCAAGTTTAGGCCGGTCAGGATTAGGCCTAGGTTTGGGTTCGGGCTTAGGGTCAGGCTTGGGTTCAGGCCTGGGATCAGGCATGGGGTCTGGCTTGCAGTCAGGCTTGGGTTCAGGCTTGGGGTCAGGCTTGGGGTCAGGCTTGGGGTCAGGCTTGGGGTCAGGGACGCTTATGGAGCCTTCACAGCAGATATTGCCACTGCAGCCTGACTTGGGTGAGAACTTTCAGAGAACATTCGTCTCTACACCTGCCAGCATGGCAGCAGATGGGGCCACTGCAGCTACAGCAACGGCTGTAACGGCTACATGCTCTCTCAGGGGTTCCCAAGGAGCAGCGACAGCGACCGACGGAGCGGATGTAGCGGCAGAAGCAGCAGCTGTAGCAAGGGGAGCAGCAGCTGAAGCAATACCTGCAAGTGAAACAGAAACCTCTAAGGCTCCTCAAACAGCTGGTGCAGGGGTGCGTGCTGTGGTGATAGACGGCAAGGCAGTGAACTCGAGCGTGGAACAGCCTGTGAAAGCAACAGCAGCAGTAGCAGCAACAGCACCACCAACAACAGCAACTGTAGCAGGCAGCAGTAAGGCCGTGGCAGCAGGCACGGCAGGTGCAGGCAAGACAGGCACGGCAGGTGCAGGCAAGACAGGCACAGGGCTGAAGTGCCTTGTGGTGGACGACAACGCAGTGAACCGCAGCGTGCTGCAGCGGCTGCTGCGGTCGCTAGGAGCAGAGCAGCTCGTGCTGGCACGGAACGGTGCAGAGGCTGTCGCGGTGTGTGAGAAGGATGGAGAGGGGTTGGATGTGGTGTTTATGGACCTTCATATGCCGGTGATGGATGGGTTTGAGGCGTCGGCACGGATTCTCGGGCTTTGGAGGAGTCGGTATGGGTCGGATGCGGTGCCGCGAACCAGTAGCATGTCGCAGCAACAGCAGCAGCAGCCAGTTCAAGTAGTTCAGCCCTTGCAGCCCCAGCAGCAGCAGCAGCAGCAGCAGCAGCAGGTGCAGCAGCAGCAGCAAGAATATTCATTCCGGTACAGACCGCTGCTTGTTGCAATCACGGCAAGTGCATTGGAGGAGGAAGAGGAGAAGTGTAGGAAGGTGGGGATGGATTTCTTTCTCACTAAACCAGTAAGGTTAGCTTCTCTAAGAAGTCTTCTCGACCAGGTGAATGCTGGCAAATAAGGGCATGTTCCTACACCCCTTATCAGACACACCTCTTGTCAGAAATGTGCGGTTCAATATCTTTCCAGTTCGATTGAATTCGATAACGGTACGTGCGTTACAGTGCGGTTCGCCGCGAGTCTGATAAGAAGTTTGTCTGATAAGAGGCTGTAGGAACATGCCCTAACTAGGGTGGTTCCTCCTCCTTCCAACCTGATGTGGTTGTATCTAGGCCGTAGCCACGTTGAGTTGAACGGCATCCCTATCAAGCTGCGTGACCCATTTCTTCTGGAAGGGGGTGTTGGTTGCTTCTTGAATATAACATGCAGTATGCGTTTGAAGGCTTACTGGTTTTCTCACTCAGTTGTGATTCTACAGGGCACTGGTTGCTAGTTTGCTGTGTGAAGGCGTCCTGAAGTAAGAGCCGAAGCTGATTAGGATAGGCTAATACGAAGGTATAGTACGACCGAATATCAATATGGCGTTGATAGTGAATTGCAGGAGAAGCTTAATTCGAAGCAGTGCCATCATTGCACTTCGGTGTTTCGCGAAGGCCCACGCTCAAGCGCGCCACGAGTCAGAGAGTGTCGCAGGCCATCGCTCATTGGTGGAAATTAGGTTTTGCGACTGCCCTTGAGATCGTCGGAGCTCTACCTCATGGACCGTTCATCCAGCCCTCGCGTCCTACCTGATTGGATCTGGTCAACCCTTTCTTGTCCAATCCCCTCATCACGTTCCCATGTCTATTGCTGCTTGAAATGCTAGAAGGAAGAAATAACTGCTTTTGTGATTGCTATTGCCAGATTCTTCCCCCAACTCAAGTCCTCAGAAGCCCTAACTTGGTCAGTGCACGAGAGCGGAGTATTTATGTCCTTCATCCGTTTCCAGCGCTTGTCGCATTCGACATGGGATTTAGATCCGCTACTTTTGTTCGTTTTTTCGGTCGTCTGGTAGCTCTTTTAACCTACTGTGATTTCTGTACGTGCAGTTACCATGGAGGCCTTCGCCACGCCATACCCCATTTTCTTTCACGATGGAGAGAAGGACGTGAACAAGGGTGTTGTTGGAATTCATTCCTGTTTGACTTTCAAGCGGTTCCAGTCCATGGCTGGACAAAAGGCCGGTCTTCCTCCAGCTACTCTATCAACGGTTCTAGTCTGTAGAAAGTCTTCTGGCAACACGGAGAAGAAGCAGAAGCTTCCTATTAACGAGCATACGAACTTCAGCATTATCTTGAACCAGCATAATCCAAGTCGCGAGAGGGACTGTCATTTTCTGGTGTCCTTGAAGAAGTCGAAGAAGGAAAGAAGAGCAGCGAAGAAGAAAGCTCCAGAACCAGAGTATGTTGAAGCGGAGGGGTCTGTCGCAGCTTCAAGCACGCCATCTTCACCCAAGAGCGTGGATGATGTCTCTCTATTCAAGGATAAGCCGGACTCTAGCTCGTCTGACGACGAGGCAAGTGACTCTCGTTCTGGGGAGTATCAGAAGCAGATACCTTCTTTTGACAAGGGTTCCTCAGAGAATGAGACGAGACACGCAGCTGTGGAATTATCTCAACCTCCAGTTTCGGTGTGGAAGACTGGATCTGCGTTGAAGATTTTGAAGGGTCAAGAGCCATCCAAGCCTGCAGCAGTGCAAGAAGAAGCCGTTAATAGTGGAGGCGTTTCTGCTGGCGACATGGGTGCAAGAGGTGTTTCTGTTCAAGGAAAACCGCATCCATCTGTTACAGCACCCAATTCTCATGCAGGTTCTCCAGGCTTACCTGTTACGATTCTCAACAACCCACTTGACAGCAACATGCGGTCTTCTTCAGATGGTCAACGAACGAAGGATGGTCTAGCGGACTCAAGGGCTGGACATCCCGTTGCCAGAGTGGTCCCAACAGCTGACAAGTTCACAGCAAGTGCTCTGGCCTCTGCAGCAGCTGCAGCCTCTGCTGTGGTCCAAGCACACTCATTTCAGCCTTCACATGCAAATCCTGCTGGTGGATTTTCACTGTTTGGACCTGATTTAAGCAGCGTTGCTTTGGGCAACATGTTCCACAACGCCATGGCAATGGACTTGAGATTCGGGATGCGAAAGCTGTGCCACTTCTGTTCTTTCTGCCAGGAGAGGCGCATTGTATCAGTGCCTTTTCACTGGTGCGTGGATGACCAAGTGGTGACTGGGTTCAAAGGCCCTTCGCCAGCAGGGCCCATTGGGAGACGACACAACAAGCACAGGGTGGGAATAATGGCATAGTCAGTTCCAGCTGTTGGTTGGTTTGGTACATGCTGTATATTTGGACACTGTCAGTGGGGTCCTTTCATTATTTGAGCACTTGGATGCAAGCTTGGTAGGAAGCAGAAACCACTGCTATCTGCTTGTCAAATAAGAATGTGCCTCATTGTGAGATGAAGAAGAAAATGAAGGGGGTGTTGGCTAAGTTTAGCACCTCTACACGTGTGGTGTACATACCACGAAAATTGTCAACATCTGCCGTTACGCAAATGGCGGGAACAACGCTAACGGGAAGGCGTCAGAGTGTTGCGAACCCCGTACACGAAGTTCGTGGCCAATCCGATCTCCTTGCGCCAAACGATTTTCGGCCGGTTTTCGTGAGCCGTCAAGCTCCGACAACCCCCGAAACCACCATGCGGTTCGGGCCATGACATGCGAAATTGGGGGTGTGCCGCTGAGGCATGCCGCACATTCATCATCAAGAGCCATCGGTCCATTGAAATGGAATGGAAGTAGTTGTCATGGCGGGAGCTGCTGCAGAGCTGACCTTCGAATGCCGCATGCAAGCTGGGGTGGGGGCATTTCAATCGTCGATTCAGCTGCAACTCAAAAGACAATCTCAAGGAAGGATACTCTCACGGCTCCTTTTCAGCTGAGACCTAACACAGCACTGCGTGAAGCTTTGTCATTTCATCACCGCCGCTGGAAATCCATGGTCGTCCTTCAAAAGTCGCTGCTCTTCCCCACGCGGGCTAGCTCCGAACTGACCTTATTTCCTTGCATCCCTTTTGCGTAACCTCCGTTACCGGTTTTCCTCCGAATCTTTTCCTCTTAAGAATTTTTACCGCTTCCGCAGTCTATGTAACCATGGTTTCCAGTATCACATTATCAACTATCCACGTACGTCCCTAGTCTTCTTGACGTGGTCTTATGTCTGGAAGAATATCTCTTGCAAACGTTATATTCGACTAGTAGCCGCGCAGTGACAGGTATTAGAACCTGCAACACGTATTTTCAATCGTCTCATAATGGAGGACGACTTTAATTTCCCGCTAGGCACTCCGCCAATTCGGAAGCTCCCTACTGGCGCGGCGCGCCATGGCGGGCGATCTGCAGTGGTTCCGCGCAAGCGCCGCCGCATCCTTGACCCCGCGCACGTGGACGTCGCCGCCTCTCCCGGAGCCAGCCCCGAGCGGCGGCCGTTCGAGTCCGACACGCCGACTCGCAACGCGCACGATGCGCTGATCAAAAGCGCCCCCGGCGCTTCGGTTAGAAACGCGCCTGGCGCTTCGCGCGGGGAAGGCTTGTTTTCCGCGGAACAGACTGACGAGGGTTTGATGTCTGGCCGCCGTGTGTTGTTTCCTGACGGAAAGTTTGACGGGGCTGGAAAAGGGAACGGCGGGAGCGAAGTGGGGACGGAGGGGAATGGTACCGAGGGAGGCGCGGGGAAGAACGCATTGGGGGAAGTTGTTGGGGGAGTTTTGGGGGGATCAGCGGCGGAAAGTGGCGCAATGGCGGGATTGGCGGTTTACCGGCGACTGGCGTTTGGGGACGAGCAAGCGGGAGGGCGGGAGGGTAGTCGAACGACGCTCAAGTCTGATGGCGAGGCGGAACGAGAGAGTGGGAAAGCGGAAGCAGCGGGAGAGGGCAAGAACGATGAGGCGGTAGAGGAGAACGAGAGGGAGGTAGAGGAGGAGGTAGAGGAGGAGGTGGAGGAGGAGGTGGAGGAGGATGAATTGGAGCTAGAGATTGTGTATGAGGAAGAAGGTGAGGTGGGGAAGCAGACCGAGGAGGGCGGCGAGGAGGATGTGAGGGGAGAAAGCAAGGGAGTCGGGGAAGATACGGATAGAGATAAGGAGGTTAGAACGAGGAAAGATCAGCTCAAGGTCTCAGGAGACCCAGGGATTGCCAAAGTCGCCGCTGCCGCTATTCCTGCTACTAGTGCTGCTGTTGCCGCTGTCACTGTAGCCGACAGTGCCGTGACTCGGTTCTCGTCGTCTAATAACGCGGACGGGGATGACCTCTTCCGGTGGAACCGCATCCATAGAGGGAGCGCCGGGCCCGGGGGACGCGGAAGCGGAGCCAATGGACCAAATACACGTGGCGAGGTGCTGGCAGCCATGGTGGGCGTTCAAGTGCCACGTCAGCAAGGGGTGCGAAGCCTGGCGCCGGATCTGGAGGGGCGTGAATCGGCCGCAGCCGCAGCAGCAGCAGCTGCAGCTGCAGGGGGGGTGAGAGGCGGACGGGCTAGTGTCTCCCCGATACAGTCACCTTCGAAAGGAGCAGCTACTAAAAGTGCAGTGAGAGGGGAAATAGGCGCAGAAGCAGGAGGAGGAGCAGGGGGAAGAACGAGGAGCGCAAGAGCGGCAGCAGGGATGGTAGCAGCAGCAGCGGCGGTGAAGGCGGAGGCTGACGATCTTCCACCACAGTGAGTCCCTTGCTCTTTCCCGTCTTAAACCGCCTTGAAAAGGCCTGAACCGTCTGCCTCTGTCCCCACAGTGAGTCCCTCGCCCCTAACCGTCTGCCTCTGTCCTTGATTTCAGCATTCCCCAACACTTGCGCCTTCTCCCTTCCCCTCTCCGTTCACTTTCCCCCGTTCTTTTCGCCTCTTTCTTCCCGTTTGTGCTCCCTTCCCTCTCCCACCCGCTTCCCCTTCCCATCCCCTTCCGCTACCAATCCCCCTCTCCCGCCTCTGTTCCCTTTCCCAATCCCTTCCTTGCGTTTCCCCTTCCACTCTCCTGCCCTTATCTTTCCCCTTCCACTTTCCCGATTCCTTCCTGCCCCTCACTCTGCCTCCTACCCCTCTACACCCGCGAAGGTTCCTGGAAATCGCGCAGCTGTTTGACGCACTGGAGCTGAGCTGCCGCCTGCTGCGCGCGAGGAAGCTTCTGTGCTCCTTCCAGGCGATTAAAGACGCGGTGCAGGACGTGACTAAGAGGCGCTTCACTCAGCGGCACCTGGCGCAGATGCTGTTCGTGGGGGGCGGAGGGGGCGGGGCAGGGGGAGGAGGGGGGGAAGGGGGAGTGGCAGGGGAAGAAGGGGGAGGGGCAGGGGTTGGAGTTGGCGGAAAGGTAGAAGAGGGAGGAGGTGGAGAGGGGGTGAAGGAAAGGGAGAAAGGAGGTGAGGAAGGGAAGGACATATCGCTGAGTCCTGTTGCACTTAGCAAAACAACACTTAGTAAAGCGGATGCTCTCAGCAGGGCATCTGCCCGCCAGGCTGTCCTTGGCGTGCCGTTGCTTAGAGTGGAATCGGTTCTTCTGCCCGAAAAAAACTCCTCTCCTGTGAAGCTCTCAGGGGCGGCAGGCAGGGCGGCAAGGTTTGGACGTAGCGTGTGGGATCTGAAGATAATATTGGAAAGCGAAGGGGAGGGGAAGGGGGATGGTGGTGAAAGTGATTTGCCTGCAGCAGCGGATGGCGGTGCTAGTAGCAGTAGTGGTGCAGGGGGCGATGGAGGGATAGCAGCAGGAGGCATGGCAGGAGGCATGGCAGGAGGCATGGCAGGAGGCACAGGCATGGCAGGGGGGAGGGTGAGGAGCGAGGAGAGTGACATGCTGTGGCGGAAGAGAGAGTTCCGAGCCAGGCTGGGGAGACTGGCACGTGCCTTGGGGGCAGTGGGAAGGGACAAAGATGTGACTGCAGCAGATGTGACTATACCGGAGAAGACTCTGCCAGACCCCCTTTCACCTTCCCCTGTGCCATCTGTCGATGCTCGTGCGTCTCTCAATGTTCAAACGAGTCACACTCACTCTTATCACACTCGCCATTCTCACCCTAGCAGCCGCAGGAGTCTGTTTCCCGATCCATCCGCTAACCCTACCTTTGCCGAAGCTGGTCCAGGCTCGGTGCCAACAGCTGCACCTTTTGCCAGGCCTGTCTTGCAGGCCCGGTCAACCTCCCCGCGCCACCGCCATCGCCCTGTTTCGGCAGATAGGGTCGGCAGAAATCCGAACCCAGACTTGGGTGCTCGTGTGAGGGTTGACCTCACCCCATCGCTGGATCGCTTGGCTGTCCGAACGAACGTAGGAGGCTCGGCAAGAGCAGTCGAGGCAGGGTCTGAGCAGGTCCGGCCGGCACGGCAGCTGCTGTTTGGAGGAACGGCGGATGGTGGGGTTAGTGGTGGGTCTGCCGGTGCTTCTGGTGCTGCAGGCGCTACTGGTGCTGCTGTTGCTTCTAACACTGCTGCTGCTGCTGCAGTAACCAGAGAAGGAGTTGAGGAGGGAGAGGAGGAGGTGTGGGGTGGGGATGTGGTGGGGGAGCTGGGCACACTGCAGCAGCAGGGAGTGGGAGAAGGTGGAGAGCAAGGAGGAGCGGTTGGGAGGGGTGGAGACAGCGATGGAGAGGGTGGGGGAAGTGACTCGGAAATCTTGTCCCGCCTGCCCCAGGGGCTTGTGCACTCGGTACATTAACCTATTTGGTTATACTCTGCTGAAATATGTTGCTTCATTCTGTATCGAGTCGAGTCTAACCAGAACCCGTCCTGGTATTTCTGCTGCCCTGTGGTGACTGTGGTTGTTTCTGCCCCAACCTTCAGGTTCGGAAACGCGAAGAGCAGCAGCGTGCCGAGGCTACCGAGGAGGCTCGGCAGGCGCGGCGGCGGCGTCTGCTGCTGGCAGAGCTGCCTCTCCTTACCGACATGGTGGTCGCTCTCTTTGCCAGCTGTCGCGCTGCCGTGCTGCCACATAGGGACCTTGTGGTCCGGCTGGTGGCCAATCACAGCAAGCAGACCAACCAAGGTAGTATGATCTGGTGGGGTACAAATTTGTTTATCCCCATGTGTAATACCCCATGTCCCATCTAACTGCTGAGTTGGCTCTCTGTTCTTGCAAGCTTGTTTCACCATTGACGGTGTTGAGTCGTTTTACCTCTAATCCCAGTGCTTCCATGTCCGTTTTTTCCTTATGTTTCAGACGAGATTGAGGAGCAGTTGAAGCTTCTAGAGGAGATCGCGCCGGATTGGTTGTGTGCTAAGATGTCCCTTCGAGGAGAAAAACTATACCGGTAAGTGCATTCATCTATAATAGTTTGCCCAGTCATAGTTGCTGTGGCGGATTATGAAGCTAGTGTAGCTAGGTATGTTGCCCTCCATGTGCTGTGGAAGTTCTTGGATCGGACCATTTACATCGTTGCTGTTGGGTCTCTTGTGACTCGTTTTTCCTTGCTCCACAGGTTATCCAAGGTGGTAATGGCCACTCATGTCAAGGCACGGGTGAAGGATGAGCAGAAGCTTGATCCAGAGCAGCACCAGCATGCACCACCGCGTCGTCCTGTGCATGGTGCATCTGAGGTTCGGAGGAGCCTGTTTTAGTAGGGTCGAGCTGGAAGAAGAGGCTAAGTACCTCAACGGGAAGGGTTGGATGTGTCAGGTGTTAAAATTTACAGAGGTTTGTTTATGCATAGATCCACTTGTGTAAAGGAATTTGGGGTGGCGAAAAACATGATTTTATTCTTTTTAAGGTGCATAGCTCCTGATGTTACCGACTTGCTGTGCTATGCAAACGAATTCGGGAGGTTCTGGGTTTGTGCTGTGTGCCATCTAGGCGGGTCGTCCGAGGTGGCAAGCTACGGAAGTTTGTGCTGACAGCAGATCCGTTTCGCCACGCCTGGTGTTCCACAAAAGCAGTAACACACACACCTTGATCCCGCCTTCAGTTTGATACCAGCAGAAATTCTTTTCCCGTCCCGTAGTCAAAAGCGTTTCTCTGCAATGTTCCGAGTTTTAATACGGTTGAATGCGGTTTGCTGTCGGTTCTTGCTGGCCAGCCTTGTCCTGATGTTGTCAGCATCTGCTTCAGATTCAAAAGCCTCTCTGAAAATCAGTTCATGGGAACCCATTTCTGAGTTTTGCCATTCTGAAGCTGCTGCTTCTTCCGCCGATCTTCATACGTGCCAGCCCCCTCAGCTTCAGCAGCAAACAAAAACAGACACAATGACGGTCAGTGATGGTCACATCCAGATTCTCCCGTGTCAAGTTCTGCCTTTTTCTTACTTACTCCAGTTGACAGAGATTCTGCTGCTCGGGGCTCCAGTTCGTCTCTTTGTGGAGGCAATAATGTTATCTAACGCGGACCCTTTATTCTTGGTTTCAGGAACGATCCTACGTCATGATCAAGCCCGACGGCGTTCAACGCGGCCTTGTAAGTCGCATTCCGTACCTCTGGAAGTTCTGTAGAACCCGACGTGGTTTCGATCAAACTTCTTGCAAGCCATTGTTAAATGCTGTATGAACTGGCTAAGTGAGAAGATTCAGGGACCGATTCAATCTGTTAATTGCTGCCTCTTCGAGAGTTCCTGTCATCTTGATCCCTCACATTGGACTCCCCAACCTCCTTCATACCCGACCTTCTCTAGAGGATCGTCTGCTCATTCCAGTTCCTTGCGATTTCGTGACTTAACATGCTCGCAGGTCGGGGAGATCATCGGTCGGTTCGAGCGCAAGGGTTTCGTTCTGCGAGGCCTGAAGCTGTTCCAGTGCCCCAAGGAGCTCGCAGAGGAGCACTACAAGGACCTCGCCGACAAGCCCTTCTACAAGGGCCTTGTCGACTACATCATCTCCGGCCCCGTTGTCGCCATGGTATGTTCAACGCTACACTCCATTGCTTTATAATTGCAGTTGTGCAACAGCTTCATGTGGTTGTGGGGAACTGGGAGTTCGAAACCTGAATAAGGTTCGTCCTTCAGGATGGCCAGGTTTCAGGCGTAGTGTGTGCAGTCCGACATCTGGCTTTCAGAAGCAAAACAGAGAACCTTTCATGAACATGGCAGATCGCACTACACCCACGCGATCGCAGCAATTTCCGCATGAGCACAAAATTTTAAAGCACCAATAATCTTTCTGGACCTTATTCTACCGTCTTGCAGGCCTGGGAAGGCAAGGGTGTCGTGGCTTCAGCTCGCAAGCTGATTGGCGCCACCAACCCCCTTGCTTCCGAGCCCGGCACCATCCGTGGTGACCTTGCTGTCGAGGTTGGCAGGTAAGGATTCTAGTCCTCGTCTTACCATCATTTGCCGCATGCGATTGAATCTGCCAGCGCTCTTTTGCTCGATGACATTATATCAGCACCTTGCTTTCAAGTGTTTATACTTCTCTTGTATTCACTCGTATTTTGCTCGTGGCTCACAGGAACGTCGTGCACGGGAGTGACAGCGTGGAGAATGGCGAGCGTGAGATTGGTAAGTACATGTTTCCTGCTAAGGCTTCTGAACATTCTCGTCATGATCTGCAGATATTTTACCTCGCTGTAGTTGTATTCTTGCTCTTGCCGAACCAGACTTTCAGCCCTTCGCCTGAACCTCAGTCCCTGTACTAATGAAACTCTTTTCCATGCTATCTCTCACGTTGGCAGGCTTGTGGTTCAAGGAGGCAGAGCTGATCAAGTGGGACCCTACACTCCTCCCCTGGCTGCGCGAGTAGAGAGTGTATGAAGCTTCAAATACAACTGTATTGCATCCAGCTTCATTAGTTAGCAGACACTGTTGTCTTTGGTTTACTAATACAAAGCCATGAGACTAAAACACTGTTCCTAATTACACCAATGAACAATTCTCAGACCCTGCGATTCCTATCATGGCATGGGCCCGGAATGCCATCTATTCCCCAGAATCATCACAAACTTGTGCAGAGTTAAATGATTGTTATGATTTGGACATGAATAGAGTTTTTGGTAGTCAAGAGCTAGCAAGGGGCAGGGACCTTGGGATGATGAGTTTGGGAGCAGACGCAGGTCGTTAGGCCGATCCTGGTCTTCCGAAAGTTCATATGCAAGTTTGATCCAGCAAGGAATTAGGAAAACTACTCATACGATGTGATCTCATCTGTAACCAATTTTACCCTATCTTGTGTTACCTTTTATGTCGATAGGTGTATAGCACACACTCTTGTTCGGTTGACAGAAGGATGTCTGCTCATGAACTTGCATTGCATGATCATTATCAACAGTGCAGCTTGATCAGTTACAGTCATAGGCCTGGAACACATCACTCCCTCAACCAGGGGGTTGAAACAGGCTCCCAGTCGCACACCTCGCCCTCCTTGAACCAGAGCCCTGCTCACAGGGGTATAACATGCATCCAGGGGAGAGGGAGGAATGCAATGGGGTGCATGGGAGTGATGCTCGGCATACAGTAGAAACAAGAGGACAAAACATACTCGCATTGAGCTTGACACGGAAAGAGAAATAGGCGCAGACATGTCACAGGGAGCATGAGTTGGGGGAATGTGGAGAGTAATTGGACGAGCAAGGGTGAGATTTGGGGGGGAAGAGAGATGGAGGGTGCAAATTGGCTTAACAAGATGAGAGAACTCACCAATTTCGCGCTCGCCATTCTCGATGCTGTCACTGCCATGGACCACATTCCTGGGCACACAGGACAGGCACGCAGAATGTGTTGGTTATCCTGAGTGTATATGGCCTGGACAGATTGTTCTATCAGAGCAAGAGACTGCATGACCATTCCATGCGTGCATGCCTTGCTTCTACAGCCACCATGTACCTGCCAACTTCCACTGCAAAGTCACCACGGATGGTGCCTGGCTCCGCGGCCAAGGGGTTTGTGGCGCCGATCAGCTTGCGTGCTGAAGCCACCACTCCCTTGCCTTCCCATACCTGCCAGTAACAGGAGGTGGCATGAATGTCAAAGAGGATAATTCAGAACAATGACCAGAATGCGGACAGGAAACGTAAAGTTACACACAGCGGCTCATATCTTACCATGGCGACAACTGGGCCCGAAATGATGTACTCGACCAGCTTGCCATAGAACGGCTTCTCAGATAGCTCCTTGTAGTGCTCCTGTTCAGGATGAGACCGGGGGGCGGGGGGGTGGGGGAGGATTTATTGGAGCTGAGAGAATTGAGTGCTTACAGATGAACAAAGATATTTAGGCCCTCACGGAATTTGGCAAGTTAATCACGTGCGCGGTTTTAGTTTGCTCTCCAATCTCTCTTCTTTCTATGCTTAAGGCACACGGAAACCGTGCTGGTAGCACATTGTAGCGCGTTAAATCTCCTTGCCAGGTTTCAAACCCCGTATGCTGTTTGAACTCTCACCTTAGCGAGGTCTTCAGGGCATTGGAACAGCTTCAGTCCACGGAGAACGAAACCCTTCCGCTCGAACCGAGTGATGATCTCACCCACCTGCAATCATCATGATGAAGAGCCATGGAATTGAGGACTCCATTGCAATGGCGTGCATAAAATGGGATTGAGATTTTTGCATGACCTGGCAACGTTTTAACTAGCGTATGTGGAACATGATAAATACGGCCTTCACTCACCAGGCCTCGCTGCACACCGTCGGGCTTGATCATAATGTAGGATCGCTCCACGGCCTATGGTGCGGGAAGCATCGAGGGAATTTCACGGGGAACGCAGAACAATGACTATTGATATTTAATGAAGGGAAAACTATAAATTCCATTCGTGTTATTATGAAGCTGGGAATGAAAACGACATCCGTTGTACAGCTCTTTGAGGATCCATTATAAGTGATCAGCAGATTGCTTGCGTAACAACTCTTAACAATGCACTACCTAATCACGGCCTGTGCACATACCTCCGCCATTGCCGAGGTAGCTGCAGCCTTGCGGACGATGCGCTTGGAGCTCGCCTGAAACAGAACGAATGAGTTCGCAGATTGAGGACTTAAGGGTTAAAGCCTGCTAACATTGCCCTGCTCTCATGACCCGTTTACAAAGTCTTCAGCATTTGACAACGAATAGTTGGTGTATCTTAGCGATAGCGAGCCGAGGATCGCCGAGAATCACCTTGGCTACTGCCTGTCTAAGCTCCTGGCTGCGCCCAGTCAGACGCTGTTCAGCAGCAAAGCTAAGATTCCTGCTACCAAAGCAGACACTAGCTTTCACAGACACATTCGCGCGGGCCTCCTGGCAGGAAGCCACGGAGGCAACAGTGGCTGCAGGCCGAGCAGACAATGTGGCTGCCATGATGAGGCTCTGGAAGTCAAACCGATGTCACTGCGACAGGGACTAGGAGCGGTTTGAATTGGCCTTGGTAGTGGGAGTGGTTTGAAAATGGCTGCCAGCCCAACCAAGTTATGGTGACTAGTGGCGCAAAACTTAGCTTCTCATTTCTCACTTCGCATTTGTTTTCGCAATTCGCATTCTGCTTTTCGCCCTTGCGTTTCGTATTTTGCCCTCAGCATTTGCAGCATCAGATGAGGAGGACGCGGTAAAAGTGGAGAATCGATCGCCTTAGGTTCGTTAATTAGCGCGGTTGTAAACGGTTTCGAATGTTTCGTATGTAACAAGCAGGTTTTCAGTACGGTGATCGGATCGATATCCCCCCGATCGAGCACTTTCTCCGCGTCCTAATCGATCTGAAGATGCTATGTTGGCATTTTTCAATGGATTGAGTGCCATGTGGACCACCACGTGGCGTAAAACTCAACCTTTCACGTAGTGACGTGGCCCTTGTGATCACAGCATACGTGGACTTCTTCGATCCGTTACAGTCCTATTCGTTATTGGAGTAAAATCCACTTCCAGAAGGTGTGATGAACAATGCCCACACAGTCTGGCAGTGGTGGTGATGAGGGGTGACAGCAGCCAACGTCAGCTGTCACCGACGACACTGCTGCAGCAACTTCCTTCCTCATTGGCACCACGTGCCAGAAATGTGCCACGGAGAAGATCCTCCTTAGCCACAAGCAACCACGCCGACGTGACGTGGCCAAAATTTTACTGGCTCGTCAGTCAGCGGGCACGTTTTCCTGACTGTCGTCTCGAGAGCCCGTAAATCACTCAAGTCGGCCTACCAAATCCGCAATTTCCTTGCGGTTGGTGGCACGAACAAGGTAGGCTGGATTTTTTTGCTAGCACCTTCTAAGTGGTGCCCATGTATTCGTTTCCTGAGGGTAGTTCCAGACAGTGCGTCGTGCGTCACCTTTGGTTCCATACAACACCTGATGCAGTCATGAAATTAAAAATTTCAAACATGTTTATGCATGTGACCGCTCGTGTAATTTACGCTGTAAAATAAATGCGGAAGTCACATCCGCGATTCCATCACCTTCTGACCAGGTTGGCAGGAAATGTCCAGATCATCCCTCCATTTCAGGAAAAGATGACCCGCCAGCAGCGTCGTACACAGCTTCCAACTGTTGCCCCTGAATTCTCTGTGGTGAGGTGACTCCTGCTCAAACAAATGTGAAGTTCCGTTGTCAAATTCTTCAATCAGAATCAGCATCTTACAAGTGTTCCTTCCATTTTCTCCCACTTCGACTGACTCCACTCAGCCTTGTATCTGTTGGCCGCATCGCGTACCTGATCAGCTCCCTTGGCTTACCTTTCACTACGTACTCTTAACTTCGACGACTTACCCTTCCTCACAACTACACAGTTCGATGGCCCTCTCCATGTCGCCGGCTAAAGCTCTGTCTTCGGCTCTGACTTCTGGCCTCGTCCGGCGATCCGTGTCATCGGTGGCGTCTCCAATGCAAAGACTCAACTCGTCAGCAACTCAGTCCCTCATTCGTGCGGAGCTAATATCTTCCGATAGTGCCGCCTGGACGGGCGACTCGTTACGATCAGAGTTCTCTTCGGCAACTGCTCACACACCTGCTCCTGGTCTTCATCTGTCAAAGCGATCTCCTACCACACCATCAGCGTCCCTTGCAGCCGTGGGACCACTTGACGAATCTGGGGTATCCATCCGTGTGAATGATTCGGCTACTCCCAAGTTCACGCCTGAGAAGGCCAGGCTCCTGCGCATGCGGTTGAAGGAAAGCGAGGCCTATCACGACAGGATGTACCACTCCGGTCTTGCATCAAGACTTGCATGAGTTTGCCGTTGAAGACTGGCTGTCTTTAGGCCTAGGTTGAGTTGCTCTAGGAAAAATGTGCTACGGGATTAGTAAAACACTTCCACAAACTTAGTTGAATTTGATTAATTAAAATGTAGCTTGTTGCGTCGTAGTAATGAGATACGTTGAGTCTGTATATCCCACTACCAAGCTATGTTCACGTGCGTCGACTAGGAGGAGTACTGATTTAACGTGAAACGTGATGAAGGAAACACATACTGTTGCAGTCCCGCTACCAAGCTGGAGATTGTCTGTGTCGCATTTCACTCAATCGATGATAGAGAAATGGACGGAGTCAACTCCTGTAACATTGCACCATCGCGCCCCCCAACCTTTCCTATTATGCATTCTTGCGATCCTATGCGTCAGGTTGTCCCATAGCCAGAAAGCCTGTGCGATCGCCACGCTCTGCTACTCGTTTTTTCTCCCATCCTTCCCACTGATTGTGGCACTAATATCGTATTTTGCCCAATCCATTCCCGTAAGAGCAGGCACACTAACCCCGACATGCCCAGTAGCATGCCTTCCATGCTAGGTCATAGAAATAACGCCAGTCATAACAGATATAGTTTATAAGCCATAATATGAAACTTTGGGCATATTATAGTCGATAACATTTTTTGTCGATTAGAGTTGAAAGTCTCTTTCGAGAATCAATTATCCACATTTGTAGTAAAAATGGATTTAGCATATATCGTGTATTCAGACAATTTTTTATCACTGAGCAATCTCGGGCGTAAGACGAAGCACCGCAAGCTTCGAAGCGCGTTGCTTTCCGACATTTTTCCCAACCTTTCTTCCAGCGAATTCACGTTTCGAAATTGAGCAGACGCGGGCAGAAGTAGTCCTGCCCGTCACAGTCGGTTGCGCGGCAGGCAAGATTTCCACCAACCCCGACTCACCGCTAACCCACGGTTGCCCACGAACCAGCAGTGGCCAAGCTCCACGAAACAAACATCAGTCGGCGGGAGGACATGGCCGGGGCAGCTCCCTCCCTTCCACTTTTTTTATTCCGTCTTACACGCCAGCATTATTGACACGCAGACGAGAAATTGACGGAATGTGCGATTCCTCCCACTCCCCCGAAAATGCGGGAACCGTGAATCGTGATTAGCGCGAACCCCCACAAACACCGAACACTCGTATCTTCGGGACCACATTCCAAGAGCCACGTGAAAGAAGTCGCCCGAAAATTAGGGAGGGATTGCGTGTAAAGGTTGGAGGGTACTCTGCGAGTCAATGAAGGGCGCGCGAGTGGAAGGTGCGGTAGGTGAATGCCTGCTGGAAGACTGATCGCGCAACGCGTTTTGGTAGTCTCTTTCTCCGTCAAGTACGGTCGACTCCTGTTACTAAGCCGACCTGCCCAGATGTATATTAAGCACCTATATAACATATGGTTTCCCAGTTGTCAAGCATTTGCAATTCGTGCTCTTGCTTCTATCCTCCATAGAAATTCGCACACAGCAACCGCGATTTCAATCGGACTCTTTTTACCACTTCCACCAGCTTTTAGCAAACTATTTAGCCCAAAGTTCCAAGGGTGAAAGCGCGTGCATTAACTCCTTGCACCTAGTTGACACAGGGCCCGAATTTGCCAGCGATTTTAATGGCGATCTCCATGCAGAACACACTCACCTCCTCCTTCCTTCAAAGCCACGCAACTCATCACGCCATACCTATCGCGGCCATCAATCCTGCTGCGAGTCGCACTGCCATACCTGGCAGGTGCACGACGACACCCCTATTCACCACGGCAGCCATGGCCAGCTCCCCTTCACCGCGACCAGGCAGCTCCCTCTCCTTCCACGCGCCTCCCTCAGGGTCCACCTGTATCGGGTCGCGACGCGAATCCTCCAAACACGGTGATCCTGCATCACTAAGCGCTTCGCCCTTGAACCGCGTAGAGGAGAACATCGGGAGATTATCTGCCGAATCGTTCATGACGCAACGCTGCACTGGCGGCGGCCATCCGCGTCACTCCTCAACTCTGACTTTAGCGTCCGCGTCGTTCGCGGACAACGCCGGGCCGAGCTCTCCCGACGAGGTTCCTGTTCGGATAGGCTCCTCGATCGCGAGCAAGTTCACTCCAGAGAAAGCCCGCCTGCTGCGCCAGAAGATGCGCGAAAGCGAGTCGTACCACGACAGGATGTATCACTCGGGTCTCGCCTCCCGCTTGGCGTAAGGTTGATCTGGCTTGACAGGGCCAGCATGTACAGTGAAAGACTCTGAGAGCTCCTTGAGTTGCGGCTGAGAGCTCTCTCTGAAGAAACACTTATAATTAGGTTAGCAACTTGCGAGTTTCAGTGTCTTGGAAGACCTGTCCTCGTAAAAACCTGTCCTTGCAATTTATTTATTGTTCTCCGGCACTCTGCTAGCGCCGATCTGTTTGTGTTCAGTTTTGTTGGTCGAATGATTACTCAAAGTCCATTCTTTGATTCATTGGTCTCTTCCCCGCCATCGGTCCTCGCTCTGTGGTATGCATGTTCAGGTACTGTACCATCACTCCAAGGTCTGGTATATAGGTAGACTTCATTGCTGCCGGTGCTGTCTGTGAGTGACCAGAGCTAGCCTACACATCTAGGGCACTTCACGGTGGACGCACACATCAGTCTCTATGCTGGGATGAGCCATTGATGGAATTGTTAAAGCAATGATGATCCTCTATTAGCTTCAATTGTTTAGCATGCCAGTTGGAGTGGCCATGGTGTCAGCAGAAAGGACTTCTGGATTGCTTTTTGTCATTAATCAATTGCCTAGTGTAATCTGAGCAGCTCATGAAACTGATTGGACTTGATGTACACTTCCTTTTCTCCTTGTACACCACCTCTGCTGCTTCTGGAGCCGGTGTAATAAATCTGAGTCAAAACACTTCCTGCAGGGACATAAAAAAGGAGTGATACAGTCTAGGGAAGTAATTTCTCTTTAAGGTCTGTAGCATCAGCAGAATTGTGTCATATCTCTATCGGTTTTCTTCAATGTCACAGTGCTTATAGGCGGATTCTGCATTGTGGCACATCCACAGGATGCTGATCAGGAGGACGTGGAAAGCAGATTCGTCCACGCAGGCAGAGGTCCTTTTCGAAATTAGGGCGAACGTGTACACACGATGCCCAACCACTGCGCCCGAATTTGCCCTGCCCGTTTTAGAAAGCCTGCCCACGTGAGATTTTCCCCAGCCAGCTGCACCCTGCTTATAAGCGCGCCAAACTACTTGCTCGTGGATGGCAGGGCGACAAAATAATGACGTGAACATCAGGACAACAGACACAGCCCCAGGGTGAACCCATTTCCAAGGCCAGAATCATGCACGGCGAACACTGTGGCCAAGGTTTCCTTGACGTCGCGCACATTTTCGCCAGGCAGTGTACGCCACGTTCGCATGGCTGCTTGTGCACCAAACGCTCAAACGAGCAGCAATATATCCACGTGTACATTGCCAGGGAGAGGTACAAACACATCTCCATTCACAATAAGCATTTAAGCACACCACATTTCCTCCACCCCAGGTTACCCAGTGCGTGTAACAAACCACCATTCCGAAACATGCACATTTCGGGATGTTGTTACAGGCTTTGAAATGTGGCGAAATGCACTCATGCGATGGATGAACCAAACTCATGCGCCTCGGCAGCACATTCGACATCCCCACACCAACACAAGCGCCCCGCAACCATAAAATGACAAGTCCCCAGACTTGCCTTGTCACTGAGACTCATTAGTCTCTAATCACCACCACCATGCCGCGCCTCTACCGCCGATCGCAGGTCCCCGTGCATATCAAGCGAGCGATTTGTGCCCAGCATGTGAGCCACCCCAACATGCGCCAGGTCGACTTGGCGCGGTGGTGTTTCACACGCTACGGGATTCGTCCCGACCGTAGTACTATTGGGCGTGTCTTGAAGAGCGCTGACCGTTGGGCCGCCCCGAATAACAACACCGTGCGCGTGCGTGGCGGCGCATACCCGGAGCTAGAGCTCGCAATGGTTCGCTGGATCCGCAACGCCGGCCCTGCGGGAGTCCCGCTCACCCTCGCCACCATCCGCGACCACGTCGCGGTCATCGCGCGTGGCATGAATCTGCCCCCCACGTTCCGCTGCTCCGTGGGTTGGGTGCGCCGCGCCATGCGTCGCCACGGCATTCGTTGCCGCAGCGCGACAGGCGAGGCCGCTGACCAGGATCACGCCGCGGTGCGGACTTGCCAGCAGCAACTCCCGCAGCTCCTGATGTACCTTGCTCTCCGCCCCTGCGACGTGTATAATTTCGACGAGACGGCACTGTTCCTCTCCGTGCTACCGCGCAAGACATACGGAGGTGCGCGTGTCGCCGGGCGCAAGCTGGCAAAGCAGCGTCTCACCGTCGGGCTGCTTGTTAATGCCGATGGGAGCCACGCCTTCCGCCCATTGGTCATCTCGAAGTCTAAGCGCCCTCGGGACTTCCTTCCCGATTACGACCCTGAGGATCTATGCTATTGGCGTAGCAACGCCAAGGGCTGGATGACGGCCGCTGTAAGTCGTTGTAGCCGACTAGATGCCTTTGAGATGTTGTCATCCTGAGTAACATCCCCCCCCCCCCACCCCGAGTCATGTTATGCTAGTGTCCGAACACATGGCGAATGTTAACATGTTCTTTTTTCCCTTATATGTCTTTCTTTTCCTTGCCAGTTATTCACACATTTCATCGAGCAGCTCAACGCTGCCATGGTGGCTGAAGACCGCAACATTGTCATCTTGGTTGACAATGCCAGCAGCCACAACCTGCAGAGTGAGGATGCGGAATCCGAAGACCTATTCGGATTCCGCACCCGCGTTCTCGGTAATATCCGCCCGGTCTTCCTGCCGCCCAACACGACGGCCTTCACGCAGCCGCTGGACCAGGGGCTGATTGCCACCACGAAGGCGCGCTACCGCCAGCACTGGCTCCGCACGGTCACAAGCCTGTGGGAGGCCGGCGGCTCGCTTGCTGCGTTTGCGCGCTTTCGCCCGAACATGCGTGATGTCATCGCATGGCTCTCCGATGCATGGATGAACATCCCCGCCCGCACGATCCAGCGCTGCTGGTGGCGGACGGGCTGCATGCCGCGCTCCTAGGCCATGGATCTCGCGCATGTCGGCCGTGACGGACTTGCCACTGTCGGCGACGGCGTCGTGGCGGCGCTTCCCATCGGCCTCGACGCGGACATCGGCGACGTCGGCATTATGATTGCTGCTCTGCGCCTCGGCCCGAGCGCCATGCCCGCCGCCGAGTTTGTCGCCATAGACGACGACCAGCCTACGTGCGCGGAGCCGGGCGACGATCCGCTGGCCATTGAGCCCCGCACGCCGTATTCGGCGACATCATGGGAGCCGCCCGCCACCATGCAGGAGGTGTACGATGACGGCTAGCCCGAGAGTCGCGAGGCGAGGCGTTATGCGCGGGCAGCCAGCGAGATGCTAATTGGCTACGCCAAAGCGACCGGCATCACCCCGCGCAAATTGTGCGCGCTCTTCGAGATCAAGAACCCCATCATCGTGGCGCGCATGGAGCGCGCGAGCCCGTCCCTGAACCTCAACGCCGCGCCTCCAACCACCCCTGGGCTGCTCGCTTCTGAGGGTGGCGCGCCTTCGCCGGCCGCTCCTGTGGACGGGCCCGCGGCGACTCCTCGTCGCCGCGGGCGCGTCCTTCCTGCGTGGATGTATGCGCCGGCGCCGACGCGCCAGCAGCTCATCGACTCTGGCGTGACTGCCGTGATGAGCGGCTATGTCGACGCCGCTGAGTGGATGACAATGTGAGAGGGGTTTGGGCCCCCAGGAGGAGATTGAATCTCCTCGGTGCAGAGGCGTGCACATCTTGTGCACGCCTCTGCACTGTCAGTGGCGTGCACATCTTGTGCACGCCTCTGCACTGTCAGTGGCCCCGCATTCAGTTTCACTTAGACAGTTGTATCTTGCCGATTGGATGTGGAGTTGTGGTGGCTTCGTGTGGGGTGGTTGTGAGTGTTTGTGTAAATATGAGCTGCATTGAACTTGTCAAATCTGGTAACATCGGGATGACCACATCAACCAAACGCAGCCACACCTCACTGTTCATATTTAACTTTCCCTAGTGGTTACTAATGCCTGTTAGAAGCCCACCTTGCCTGGGGCGAGCTGAGCGAACATAAGCGAAGTAAGAGAACCACTTATAGGCCCTCTTCATAAGCCGAGTATGGGGGGCTCTATCGAGCATCAGGTCTGTAGCATCAGCAGAATTGTGTCATATCTCTATCGGTTTTCTTCAATGTCACAGTGCTTATAGGCGGATTCTGCATTGTGGCACATCCACAGGATGCTGATCAGGAGGACGTGGAAAGCAGATTCGTCCACGCAGGCAGAGGTCCTTTTCGAAATTAGGGCGAACGTGTAAAGGGATGGAGAGCGGAAAAAACAGCCCATGATCATCGCCGAAATTTGCGCGGCTGCCGAAAGACCCCCAGCCCATTTCCTTTCGCACCGCAATGGGTCGCTTGTGTCGCAACGCATGCGAACAGTTGTCCGCGTCATCTTTCGCAGATCCAGTTCCGCTGACGAAGCTGCACGGCGGAATGCTGCCAACAGCGATGCGCCATGTCTAAAGCCACGGCCAGGTGTCGACCAGCACCTGGCTGTAAATTTCAGGCGATGCGCAGTTGATCTCAATCTCCCACAAGCTGACCTGTAGCATTGTCACCTGTGACGAAGCGGCCCAAATACAGCTGCAACATTCGACTCCTCCGACGCATCTGCGACACCAGTTGTGGAACATTCCGTCGCACAATCGAGATTCAAACGCATATTTCGTTTCGTTCCCCTGCTGATCTTCTCTGGCTGTAACGCAGAGATGCGTTTCCGTGCAGTCCAGCAGCAGGCATCACTACCAGCCTAGCACTGATAGAACAGCAAGCTCCGTCCAACCGAGCAAAAAGGCGCTTCGCAGTCAGTCATCGTGTAAAGCGAAAATCCAGTCATTGCGTGAGGGCTAAAATAGGCGTGAAAGTGGCATCCGTATTCACAATTATTCAAGCGCCACTTTCAAGTTCCACGACAGGAGCTCTTCGTCTCTCCAGTTGCTGTGTTCACATTCACATTTCTGTTTTCCAGTATCGTAACTCTGTGACGAGTATTCTTTCTCAGACATGGCTACGATTCTAGTCTCTTCATTCACTGGCCAGGGCTTCGTGGTTGACTCAACAAAGGGTATGTCGATGCATTCCAGCTGCGACAGTTTGTGCGTGACTGCCAACGCTAACGTGGATCTCGTTGCGAAGCGGCATCACAAGGATCAGCGATCAGAGCACCTGAAGCTGAATACGGAGTCACTGGAGTTGTTACCCCGAGCAGCTGATGATTTTATCGCAATCACGACGGATGAAAAGCGGGCTCCGAAGTTTACTCCTGAGAAAGCCAGGCTTCTGCGGCTATCTCTCCGGAAAACCGACTCTCATCACGATGCTATGTACCACTCAGGACTTGCGTCTCGTCTCGCTTGATGATCATTTGGCTGTTGGGCATCACAGCCTCCATGGTCTCCTGGAAGATGCCTTTCAGGATGACTTCAATTTTGTGCAGGGCTGCCTCTTTGATGGCGCCATTTCCATTCCGTGTCACTAGTCGTACAGTTGCTTGTTATATAGAGCAGTTCAGAGATGCAGTGTACAGTGAACGATCATTATTGTTGTCCATCCATCTGACCTCGACCCTTTTTTTACATGGTCATCAACCGACCTCTGATAAGCATAGCCCTCAACTTCATGAAACTTTTCACCTAAGTTGCTTTTGTGAAGCGTCACAGTTGAGCGAATGATGCACCATTTTCCAACCGTCAATTGATTTCACGAGAAATAAGTCCCTCAGGGATGCGTGCTACTCAGGGTGGAAAACGCGTTACGATTTCATCGTATGCAGTACTTTCGGGCGCAACAACGTAGATCCATCTACGGTAACTATCTAACACATATGCCAATACAAATGTGTTTGGGAATCCATCTTTATTTAACGAAGTAAATAGTTCAACAATATGTACAAAAAATCAATTGAGGGCTACGTGCGGCCTTGCAAACGTTGACAACCCGCATCTATGTATAGGAGCCAAAATTGTTAACGAAGCGGAGATAGGAGTCGCAAAACTACGTGATTTGCGAAACTCAAGCGAGTCGCGAGGCCAGGCCGGAATGGTACATAGTGTCGTGGAATGACTCGCTCTCGCGTAGCTTTTGCCGTAATAGGCGAGCTTTCTCCGCACTGAAGGTGGTCCTTCTACCAGCGTGTATGCCAACAGGGATCGAGCCGTCAGCAGCGCGAAGCGATGCAGCCGAAGCCTTGGCAGGAGTGGACGTCCGAGCCTTTTCTTGAAATGCGTCTGGGACGCTCAGTCTCTGAGGAGACTGGACGGAAAGCGATAGGTTGATAGGCGGCTGCGACGGAACTGACATTGTGAATCTGGCGATGTCGTGGGAGGCATCGTTCCCGACGCAGGCGATGGACTGTCCGAAGAGGGTTGAGTGGACTGACGAGGTGACAGCGGAAGCCATTGTGGCAGATCTAAGTTTTGCAGACTAAAGAGGAAGCGGGTGGCTCAATAGACCAGATAGAGAGTGATAGAAGGTTAGTCGCTGTGGATAGACTGCTAATGGAATCTGGACATGGAGCCTTTGTACGTGCTCTGGCCTCATTGATGCGCTGTGGCGTTGCGGGAGGGAAGATGAGAGCGAAGGTGGCAGTGTGGGGCGAAAAAAGCGCACAGCGCAGGTGCGGTAGTTGGTTGGGTGGGCTAAGCTTGAGGGCTGGGGGGGTTGTTGGAATAATCCGGGAGGTGCGGATGTGCCCGGTTTGGGAAGGGAAATGATCAGCTGACTCTCGTTGGGGTGGTTAGGGCGTGGGCCCAAACGGGTTTGATCGCGACTGATCTGATCGGGTTGGATCTGATCGGGTTGCTTGTGATCGTAGTGCCCGAGCCGCCCGATCAGAAATGATTTTCGAAGAAGTTTGTCAGCGCCTGCTCAGCAAGTGCTTTACATTTGCGTGGCATTTTCGTCACCATTTTAGCGAGATTGACGACCAGGCTTCACCTGGCGAAAATATTGGTTTCACTGTAAATGGTACAGTGTAACTGCTCGCAAGCATCGCTAGGTGCCCCGATCACAAGCAATCAATTGATTGCCTGTGATCGAGGAAAATCGACTCTGATCGGGGTGAAAATCGGGTCTGATCGAGGTTGGGCGATCAGCTGATCGCGATCAGCTGATTGCCCCTGATTGCCTAAATCTGGTTTCCAGGCTTCCTGGAAATTATTGATCGTTGCTGATCGAGGCGATCCAACCCGTTTGGGCCCACGCCCTTACGCCCCAGGGTCTGATTCAGTATGGGTCCAAACTCATCTTTCTGCAGTAGCTGGATTCATTCTTCCGTATGAAAAGACTGGAAGCAGTGTAGCATCTTACCCAGAATTTCCGTGAAAGAAACGTTGTTTGCCCTCTCGGTTAGGTGCTGCTGAAAACATGAAAGAAAACTATCGTTCAATTCCTGATGTCGTTTCGGCCCATGTGCCTCATGATTTTACCTATCTGCTTACCGTGTGACCCTGCTGCGACTATTGCGACTGGCATGACTGCCTTCCCACGTGAAAGGCAACTTCCATGTGGTGGCGATCATGAAGGTTAAAGGTTAAAGTTGTTTTTTCTGGCCGTAACCAGTTTAAGGGGTATCCATTCCTAGATGAGCACGTGCTAACCCCTACTTGGGGCTGGCAGAACACGCCTGCACGGGGGTGGGTTCGATCCCAGGACCTCATCTATCGGAAGTGCCTCTTTCTACTGACTAGGCCACTTCTGGATTGATGGCGATCATGAAGGGCGAACCGAACCGCAGGGAAAGTGAATGACCGAATTTTGTTTCTCAATTGCGGCGAGATGTCCGGCTCAAATTTCGGGCCCCGTGAATTACGTAAACTGGATATGGTTGACGTGCTAACTTTGAATTATGCGTCAGCATCGAGGGTGACTTAAGTTGCTCACTTGAAAGTGTCTCACTAAAAATAAGAGTGATGGATGGCGTTCATAAAAATCAATGTTAGACAGGTTTCGATTTCAGTAATATACATTAATATGGATATCAATAGAACATATGCCTTTCGCAAATGTTTATTCGGATTGTGATCAGTTAATGGTGCTGGTTTTATCTAAATGGCCACTAAATCCAGTGACTGTTCACACAACTAATAAGCGGTCGAGTCATGGCACAATCGCGGACCCCGTTATCTCCTCCATCCAGTAATGGGTCATTCACATCACATCACATCTCCATGACATCACATGAGAAGACAGGAGCCTTCCGAGCAGCAGCAGCTATGGACATTCAACTGACATCTTGTTACCAGGAGCCGTCACATATAGCAACGGACTGCTCCTTGGCCTTGGAATCCACGAGTCGTCTCGTGAAGCTGGTGTAGTCACATAAGGTGACGGTCCATGCAATGTCCTGTCAGATCCGTCCAGCGCAACATTGCTGATTTCATGGCGTGGTGTCATTGGTCCTGACTGTTTCAACGATGCAGATTACAGTTTTGTCATACAACCCTTCGCAATCATGGCACCTCCTCGTACGGATGCTAATCGCGTCAGGTTTCTCGGAATAACCAGGAATCGCTTCTCGCTGCTGATTCTGTGACTGGCATGAGAGCAGACACGAGGGCTCACGTGACTGGAAGGCAGGAAGAAGGCCTGAACCTTCACAAAACGTCCCGTCATGGCCAGCAAAGTGTTCATTCATCTCGGGAAACCCTGCTGCCATGATTCTTCTCTCCTTGTCCGTTTCCAGCAGCGGCATCGTATGTCGCGTCTTTCTCTCCAGCGTGGCATCGAGCTCGCTGCTGATTGGCCAATATCATCCCAAGCCGCGACCACTCCGCCGAGGCTCCTAATTCGTGGTTCTGGACGCACCAGGATCCCTGCCTTGTCGGTTTTCTCGACGTGACCTGTAGAGTATATCAGAACGCACTGGTGGGATTTCTGTCTCAGCTTGTCCTGGTTGTGTTATCGAAGGTTTCAGCCGTCGCTCGGCGATTGGCTAGGCTTCGACATTCCCAGGGCTGACTGATCTTTGGACTTTCTTAAGTTTTCCGTTGCGTCAGGGTCATTCTGGGTCTTCCGAGAAACGTCTCCGTGACCATCGCTCTGACTGGCTGAGGGTTAAGCTGTTCAGGGCAAGGTGCGGAGATCAGATTAAAGAGCTCGGATTTTGGCACATTCAACGTCTAGCGACTTCGACTCAAAACCCACAGCCAGGGTCACGCCTACCGTTTACCCGCTGCGTTGGTTTCACAACTGCTTCTCGCTGTCATTTTCGGCATCTTCTCCTGCAGTTGCCTCGGCATCAGCAGGAGTGTGCAAAGACGAAGGCTTTTAGCAGCACAACCAGCAGCTGCGATCCGGTGACAAACAGCCAATCACACGGCAAGCCTTCCTGGGAAAGATGGCACCGTCTCATTTGCCATCCCGCGGCTGGCGTCCCAATGTGACTAAGGACCATTCTTCTGCCCGTGGTTACACTTTTCCACGCGTTATTGCCACCTTCTGCACAATCACGCTGCTCGTTCTCTGCTGCATGGGTCCCGTGGGTGCCGTCCCGCCTCCGGTGGTGCAGTGCGAGAACGGAGGGTCCGAGACGTGCACTATCAACAACGCCTATGGAGCCAATTTTGATAACGTCACGTGCAGGTAAGACATGCAGGTGGGTCTTGTGGGTGCTGTGCCGCCTCCGGTGGCGGAGTGTGAGAATGGAGGGTCCAAGACATGCACTGTGAACAATGGCTATGGTGCCAACTTTGATTACGTCACGTGCGAGTAAGATGGGGTGGATGAATGAGCAAGGAATGAGATGATAAGGGAACAGATGAGCACTGAATGGAACGATCAGGAATTGGGATGAGCACGGAAGGCATGGATATGGCAAGCAATCAGGCTCGATGTATCTCTCGTAGTGCCATGGCATCATGGAATTCTCTTCCTTCTCTGTGTGATGGCAATGGCTACGCACTTCTTTGCATCACCTTTTTCTTGGCATGATTACTGCAGGGCATCACGAGTGTTCTACCCAGCATCAGAGGACGAATTCATTGCTGCCGTTGCATACGCCAGCCAGAACAACCTCCCAGTACATCCTCTTCCCATGTCCCCACTTTCATCCCTCGCATCCCCTGGATGACCCTGTGTGTTTCTATTTTTCATGCACTCTGCTTGGAATGCCTCTGCGCACTGTATGCTTTCGTGGCAGCCTGCGAGTGGTTGTGGCAGACATTTCAAATTGGTGTCCCAGGGCCTAGGCTGGCTACTGAAATAGCTACTCCGTGCAATTGCACCAATGCTAGGGATGTTTCTGGTTCGAATGCCATCCAATGACCCTTTGCCACGTGGCAGGTGAAGGTGGTGAGCCAGTTCATCCACACCACGGCCAAGTGGTACTGTCCAGGCGGGCAAGCAGGTGTCGTTATAGTCACAACCTTCTACAACAGCATTCAGCTTGACACACAGGCCATGACTGTCACTGTAGACGCAGGTGTCATGGTGAGTATCCCCTGTGTGCTACAGTTACAAAAGGTATTTTTTTCTTCTTGAAGTGAAGTGAATCACCTTATATTTTGGGCACCACGATCCATTCCCATTACCATTTCTCGAGAAGCATCTGCTTTCTCTGCTTGCTTCCTCAATCTACGCTTCCGTGTTTTCCCACAGATCTACGATTTTTTCAGCTATCTCGCTCGCTACAACCTCACCTTCCCCACTGCGCCCTACTGGGACGGGGTGACTGTCATTGGGGCTATTGGCACTGGCTCGCATGGCAGCACTCTGCAGTTCAAGGTAGCTTCTGCAGCTTCCTTTTTGCTTTCTTTGAGTCGTATATTGGATTGCCTACCATATCCTTCTGAAATTTCAGCTTGCTTGTTCGTGCTAATATCTTAACTATGGGGAGGGAATGTTCAAAAGATAATATGACGATAAACATTCTTTCTTCGCATCCTCATCCAACCCAATGTCAGGGTGGGCGCATGGGAGAATACGTGAGGGGGGTGCGGGTGGTGGTGGCAACCGACGAGGCGAGTGGGTGGGTGGGGGTGAGGGAGGTGAGCGGAGGAGACGAGCTGCTGGCTGCTCGCCTGCACCTGGGGCTGCTCGGTGCCATTTCCAAGATGACCCTCGAGGTCTACCCCATGTGGAAACGCCAAATCGTCTTCTACAACACCAGGTGAAGCTCCTTATATTCCATGCCATGTCAGCAACACTGTCTGGCGGCCTTCTGTTCGGTGCCATTTCCAAGATGACCCTCGAGGTCTATCCCATGTGGAAACGCCAAATCGTTTTTTACAACACCAGTTGAAGTGACCTGCGCAACAGCTTTAGGTGTTGTGGATCCATCTTCCGGCTTAATATTCTGTGCTGGTTACCCATTGTTGCATTGCTGTCCCGATCGTTTTGTTTGCCGTTGCTGACTGTCCATATCATTTGGTGATGGTCTGTCACTGTCACACTCACATCTTGTTCTGTCTTGTTCTGGTGTTTGTGTATACCCATCCGTTTCCTGCGCCCCACCCAATCCCATGCCACAGTGATGATAACATCGAGAATGAAATCCTCTCATTCGCTCAAAACACCACATTCCCGGACCTTAACTGGTATCCCTCCTCGTACAGGTAAAACTCCACACCCTTGCCGACTACCTTAGCACGTCTCCATGTTCTTATCCTCTGTGGGTACTGAATGTGGGAGATATCCACCTCCCACCCAACACAGCTCAACATCCAAGTTCTCTGCACAAACAAAGCGGAATCCAAGCAGACAAACATCCATCTTCATTCCTCAATTTCCCCCCTCACAGTGTCTTCTGGCGTCGAGACAACCTGGTGTCAGTAGCTACACCAGGGGATGGTTCCTACACGCTCCCACTCTTCCCCGGCCGCCTTGAATACGTCTGGGCTGCTCTGGCTGCCATGGGTACTTGCTCCTTTGTCTTGTCTTCCATTGTCTTTGCGTTACTTCCCATGCTAAGACTTTCTCTTTATTCTACTTTTGTTTTTTCTTCCCCTCAGACTATCAATCCGAGGTCTCTCGCAATGCAGACGAGCAGTGCCAGGCCTGGATGAACATCCAGGTCAGTGTCTGTAACAATTCAGTTCTGTAGCTTTCGTGTCACACTTCGTATCTAGAGCTGCCAAAAATTCACTGCATGATTGGCCTAGCCTAGCATGATAGGCCTTGTCCCCTCATGTCACACTCAACTTCATTGTTGTCCATTACAGGTACCGACTCTGCTTGGTGGTGGTGGTGGTTTCACCAATGATGGCTCTTCCTTCTCATCCTTCCCTGTTGGTGAGTCTTTTGAATCATTTGTCATGATCTATTGTGAGGGATATAGTCCTGTGAAGTTTCTCATTCTCAATTTACAACAAATGGCACCAAATCCTTCCATTTCTCACGTTCCATTTTGTTCCACCATTTCTTCCTTTGGGTACTCAGTTGGATTCCACAACCGCATTCAGTCGTCCAGCGGATGTGAGTTTGCTCCAGACTATCCCATCGGCAGACAGACGTGTGCCTGGGATCCTCGCATCAGCGGCATCAAATTCTTTGAGACCACCCATGTCATTCCTCTCAGGCGACTCAAAGGTACTGTACAGAGCGTGCCATCTGGGGGTATGTGAGATCAATTGAGATGCGAAAAAGTTGGATATTACACTGTCCGAAACTGCCAAATGGAGTCCATGTGTGTGCCTTCTTCTCACAGAATTCATTTTGACTATCAAGCGCATCCGGGACATGAGGCAGAATGCATTCTGCGGTGTTGGTCTGTACGGAGGCATCTTCTTCCGTTTCATCCGTGGGTCAACCACACTTCTTGGCAACAGTGAGGATGCAGCTATGGTGGACATTCAGTACTACAGGAACACGAATGTTTCCCACCCTCGTACAAATGGGGTGAGTTCAAATCGTGACAGCTACCGTAAATGGAATACGGTGCATCAGATGATGCTCATCATGAGACCACCTTGTTCACACATTCGTTACCTTGTTATCACTGGTTTTGGTTCACTGCAGGACATCACTGACGAGTTCGAGCAAATTCAAGGGAGGCTTTTTGATGCTCTTCCTCACTGGGGAAAGAATAGGGATGTTGCTTTTGACAACATTTTGCACAAAGTGCCGGGTGCGGCAAGGTTCCTGCGTGTCAGGTGAGAACAAAAGCACTAAAGCTCAAGCGGCTGACTTGAATGCAGCCATTTTTGCCAGTCCATGCATGGGCCTTTCCCCGCTGAAGCTGACTATGTGTTGTTTGTATGCCATCCCTCCACTACCAGGCAACAATTTGATCCTCGTGGCTTATTTCTCAATGAGTGGGCCATGAGGGTCTTCCGTCTCAGCAGGACGCCTGTACAGATATACCGTCCGCTCTGTGCTTTAGAAGGTGTCTGTCACTGCACGGACGACTCCCACTGCAACCCAGCAGCTGGTGCTTTCTGTGCCAAAGGCTTGGTCTTCACCAATGCCACCGTTTGCCGCCTTGCAACCGTTCAGCAATCTTGACAAGTGTCGGATTTTTTTTAATCATGCTGCTGGCCCAGCGTTGGAGTACCTGTTAAATGGTTCAGTGCGTATGTTGTATGCACAATTTAAGCAAATGATCAATACATATATGTGATAAAATACATACATAGGAGGACTACATGAGCGTAGACAAAAAGCCAGGTGCTGTTGAGCTGCTGGAAAACATGTATAGGGAATTCGCAATCAGTATCGTTCTGAAGTGTCAGTCGACGAGGTGTCAGCTGAAGCGGACTTCGTTCGACGGTTGATGTTTAGCGCTTAATGTCATCAGCGACCTTTTGCTCTAACCGGTTGTTGAAATCGGATAATCGTCGCCACGACAAGGACATCTCTTGAGACTCCTTGCTGACATTTGCGCTCCTTCCTCCTAACATTGCACTCGGGTTCTTCACGTGGACGTCACTGAAAAAATCAAACTCGTCGCCAAGTGACTTCTGGCATGTCTTCACGTAAAATGGGTCGTACATGACGCTCCCCATGATGACTTCGAACTATTGTTGAAAGCGACGCGTTCTGAAACAGCCTCTGAAGTGAGTGGAACAAGAGCACAAGCTATAATAAAAGAGCCTCTTTTTGACGTTGATACCCGAAACTGAACGGACACTCAGACTAAGTGGAACAAGGACACAAACTAGATTCGGAGGAACTTAATCTGACACTCCTTCTCCACACACAGAATATCACCAGGAACAAGGAAGTTTAGAGGCCAATATGCCAGAACAAGGAATATTCGCTTGCCTAGAGCATTTGTTGCTCTCCCTGGTCTTGCACAACGGATAACAGCGGCTTGAGGAAGTGCTTGGGCTGGGCCCGCCCTCTGGCCGGCCTCCAAGACCCAGACGGACAGAATCGAGCGGAAGGTTCATACAGACCCTACAGAAGACGCTCTGGATTCGACGAAAAGCATATTCACGCCAACGACCCTGCCCAGTAGGTGGACAGCATGGCGCCATGTCACCTCTACGTCAACCACTCGAGCGGCATCGCAATATCCGTTTCGTACTCCGTCAGGGACGTGACGACAGCAGATCGACGGCGCTGAGGCATTCCTAGCCTCTCACGGGATCCGGATCACGGATTGGAGGAGCAAGCTTTCCCGAACCCTGGTGAGCCAAACCGGTGAAAGTCTGCTTCGTAACCCAAACGTGTGGGACAAGACAGAAACTCGAAAACTGAAATAATCGAAAACACTACCCAGCACCACCGAGCACATCCGTATATAAAACGCTTTCGAAATTATATCATTGTCTTATTGCATTACATTGTCCTTGAATAAAGAGACACAGATCATTGACTGATTTTGAATGAAATTGTCCTAAACTGGAACGCTTCGACTTCTTGGGATCGTGCCAGCAAGACCATGCCCTGAAATATGACGCAACGGCCTCATCCGTGCCACCCTGGGGAAGCAGAATGGGATGTAGGTCTGACGAGAGAGACGCCTGACAGTGAATTCAGCCTGACCATCCGTTGAGACTCCTCTTTTCTTGACCTCCCTGCTTGCACAGCTGCTGCCAACAGAGACAAGAATGACGACCCTGACTGGCGCACCTCTTCCTCCTTACTACCGGTAACCGCCATTAATCCTGCATTGACCTCAAATTCCTGGTGAAGAGCAGCATATGCATCACCTGCTGCTGATGCAGGAACTGCGTCATTGCAATAATGGCAACCATCCACGGCTCCCGTTGGCGTTTCTCTAGTCCCCCTGCATCCCACATTCCCTCCACCCACACCCCCCTGCTCCTGCCTCCCTTGCCAAACCTCTCCTCCCATCCTGCGACTCGGCATCAGTGGCCCTGACTTAGACAATCGCATCCCCCGCCGATTACCTCGCTCTCTTCTAGCTTGAGCTACGGGCCCAGGGATAGGCATTCCCTGAGAGGTCCCCCCACAGGTTACCACTTTGCCTGGATCCAACCCGCCATTACGAGCTTCACGAACATTCCTAGCCTCCATTCGCTCTGTCACACGAGCAGACAAACTCCGCACCAGGCGGAGGGGCTGGCCTAGGTCTAATCTGCTCCGCACTGTCTCCTTTGTGACTGAGTTCCCACTAGATTCACTCCTCCTGCTAGAGCCTTGAGTGCTCCCACTCGCGCCGCTCGTCTCTGCGTCCACGTGGCACCCGCTGAGACGTCTGCTGCTTCCGCTGCCCACGCTCCGCCGCCCGAAGCTGCGCCAGCGACGAAGAACACCTGGTTTTAATGACGTGGCACCATCTGATAGGTCATCACCTCTGCATGGGTCAGGCTCCATTCTTTGCAGCAAAACCTGCTGTTGCGGAGGCAATTGCTGCTGCTGCTGTGGCGGCGGCTGTTGTTGTTTCAGCATCGACAGTCGCGCGAAAACCCTGACGCTTCTCGGCGGGGGATTGTCCCCCGCCCGCACTCGCCGATCCGCGGGGAGTTCCCAGAACGTGGGGGGAATGTCGCACGCCAGCGACGGCGGGGCCTCCCCCGGAATGCGCGCAGCGGAGAAATCCGCCGGAAGTGGCCGCGCGGTGTCCCTCGGGGTGACGCTTGCGCGCGGAGACTCCGCGAGCGCGCGCGCCCCCCAGGGCCCCGCGGCGGCGGAACGCGGGGAGAAGATTTCCGCCAGGAGCGGGTTGTCGGGGACGAGGAGGGCATGCGCGGTACGCGCCTTCCGCGCGTGATGGTGGTGCGCTGCCTTGAAGGGGACAGTGGCGCGGGGACTCCCGGGGAAGATGCGCGGGTTTTGCGCGCGCGGGGACGAGATCCTCGTGCGCGCCAAGGGGCTGTGCGCGTGAACTGCGCGGCTCAGGAGACTCCCCGCGGCAGGCAGAGAATCCGCGCGGGGAAAAATCTCGTGCGCGACAGGGGGCTCATGCCGAGGTAAGGGGCTTCCCGCATGTCTCCGCCGTAACTTTCCGCTTAGGGGCGATTGCGGAAGGTTGCCTCCGCGGCAGTGCTCCCCAAGAAAACGATGCGCGGGCGAAAGAACAGCGCCACTGACGCCACTGGGGGCACTTGCGGCAGTGGGGGCACTTGCGGCAGTGGCGGCACTTTCGGTAATGGCGGCATCAGTATGAGATTGATGATGATCCTCCAACGGAAGTTCAGGAGCGACGAGCGGCGGCAATAACCCCGGATCATGTAGCAAAGTGGGCGGCAGCAGCAGCCCCGGATCAGGTAGCGGAGAGAAACGCGGAACCGCTGGAGAGGGATCGTCGTCAGTCGATCTAGATCGGACAACCGCCATTGCTTCTCCCCTGGTTGTCGGGCTTCTGATACGTTGGACTACTAGTTATGAGACTACAATCCACGATCCACAATCGGTCGCCTGTCTTGTGTCTTCGTGTAAGATTGAGTGGTCAGTGTCATCACTACACTGGAACACTCACTACACAAAGTCTCTCTCTTTGACGTGACCTTCTAGCCTGAACAATTCTGACGGTTGCTCTACCCACTTCTGTTCGTAGGCTGTCGTTTTGATTCTAGCTCTACAAAAGAATTCGCGAGAATCGAAAAATTTTTTCAGATCAGATGAGGTGGGAGAGGTTCGTGGTGGTGGTAAGAGATAAGACGGGACATTAGAATGGATGGATGGTGATCAGGTCAGGACAGGACCAGGAGTGCAAGGAGAGAAGCAGACGAATGGGGTGCGGCACTCGACGGAGTTGAGAGCGTCTTTGCTTGTTTTAGAGGAATGTTGTGTGTTTCAGTATGGTGGTAACGGGTTCTCAATCCATACTCGTCGTCTTGTGCCCTTAAGGAGCGAGTAACAAGAACAAGAATCAGGATCAAGGATTGGCCCGTTGTCATTGTCGTCAGGTCCACACTCGCTGACGAACAGAAATCATATCTGATCTGATGGATCGATTGAACTTCGGCTTTTACCCAATTCATGCAGATTTCGCTAGTGCAAGTTTGCGAGCGCATACAATAGACGGTTCAGGCAAAAATGTCGGCCTGCCGGCAAAACCACGCGGTCACCCGTGTCTAGGGTTGAGGCTCCCCCAGTCGCATGCCATCCAGATGGGGTTTTGTTTTTCTGACCGCGGGCAGATAACAGTTCGTCAGCCACTTTTCCCTACAGCCGTCTATTGTATGCATCTGAATAATCGTACTGGCATAAGTTGAATGCCTTGAAAATGGCCCATTGAACTTGATCAACCTGATGATGTGAGACGAGGGGCGGCACTGCGAGCGGACAATGCGGTGAACCGCTGAATTCTCCCCAGGTACTGGGGAGGGTTGTAGCGGTGCAGTGCAGAGGTTGCATGGGGTGCGAAGGTTGTTGCGAGGATATGGGAGGAAGCCAAAACACGTTTAGTTGTAACGAAGCGAGGCGTGTTTCGATATGATTCCATGACATGGCGGGCTGTGGTCACCGTGGATGAATACAAAAGAATATTAGTACTGAACTAATCAAGACAATTACTCGGGGAAATACACCATATGTTCAATCTTCACGAGGAACCGCTGATTTGACGTTTCATGGATATAGCTTTGACTGAAGTCTCCATTACTGTTAATAGTTGGTCTGTGTTAAGGTAAGGCATTGACAGTTGTAAATAAGCAAGTCTGCTTCACAATGCCCATGTACAGTAAATAAGGAAACAAAAAGGCAAAAACAAAACAACTCCCTTCTTTGTAAGGGCCAACTCAAACAGGGTAAACCCCTCGACCAGACCCAACCGCCCACTAGCTCTCTCAGTGAGCCATGAGAGTGAGTGCATCCCGAGAGCGGCCGAGCAAGTTCAACACAGTGGATGCGATCTGACCGGCGGACAGCCCTGCCTCGATGATTTGATCCTTGGGTGCTCCGTGCTCGATGTAGCGGTCAGGCAGGACGACGGGGCGGAACTGATGGGGTGAGGGTGGAAAGTGGAAAGTGGAAAGGGGGGACGGGTCGAAGGCAGAAAAGGTGAAATTATAGCTTAGTACCTCCATACGTAGAATTAAACATGCGAAGATGAGCGCCATGAAGTGCTGCACGTGCGCCGAGAAACGTCTAGATCACTAAATGGGAGTACAATGGGAGCACCCAATCTCACCTTGATCTTGCCGTCATCAAACAGCCCATCGAGAGCCATGAAGTGCTGCACGTGAGCCGAGAAGCCGCCCACCGACCCCTCCTCCACCACCACCAACACCCCGTGGTTGCGCACGAGCTGGCGTATCAGATCGCGATCCAACGGCTTGCAGAAGCGCGCGTCAGCCACAGTGACCGAGATGTTGCGCTCCTCCAGCATCTTAGCAGCCGCCAGGCAGTTGAGTGACATGGTGCCATAGCCCAGCAGAGCCACATCGGTTCCCTCCTTCAGGATCCTTCCCTTGCCAATCTGCATTTGCATGAAGAGGTGGTGGAGTGTGATGGAAAAGTTAGATTATTGTGCCTCTGAAATCTGAGAGAGAACCACTTGAAAAATGTGGCTGCTGAAAGATTGACTACCAGAAATGTGGCCCCCAGTTGAAAGCAGCAGGTGACTGCAGTGCTTGAGGAAAAGCAGGATGTGATGTAGGGGAAAGTACGGGGATGCGAGTTCTCACCTCGAGTGGCACGCCCTTATTGTTGGCAGGCAGGGGCAGCCCAATTCCGTTCCCACGCGGGTACCGGAACACACTGGGGCCCTCGTTGTAAGCTGCTGCAGTAGCCACCATGTGGAACAGCTCCACCTCATCGGCGGGCGCCATCACCACCATCTCGGGCAGACACGCCAGGAACGCCACATCATATGCGCCAGCGTGCGTCGCCCCGTCAGCGCCGACCAATCCCGCGCGGTCAACAGCAAAGCGCACTGGAAGCTTCTGCAGCGCCACGTCATGCATGACTTGGTCGTATGCTCGCTGCAGGAAGGACGAGTAGATGGCACAGAAGGGCTTCAGCCCCTCAACAGCCAGGCCCGCCGCAAAGGTAACCGCATGCTGCTCCGCAATCCCCACATCAAAGCAGCGGTCAGGGAACCGTTTCGCGAAGAGGTTCAGCCCGGTTCCACCGCCCATGGCCGCATGAATCGCAACAATGTTCTTATCCTGCTCTGCCTCCGCAATCAGGGCTTCAGCAAAGTAGGTGGTGTACGCCTGAGTCGCGCTCTTGCCCTTGTGCTGCCGGCCGGTCGCCGGGTCAAATTTCACCACGCCGTGATATTTATCCGCTGCCCGCTCCGCATAGGGGTACCCGCGCCCCTTTTCAGTCACAACATGGATAAGCACAGGCCCGGTCGACTGCGTGTTCTTCACCTCCTTCAATATAGTCACCAAATCCTCCACTGAATGCCCGTCAACCGGGCCGATATAGTACAGCCCAAGCTCCTCAAAGAGGGTCGACCCCGACCCGCTGATCATCCCCCGAGCGTATTCATCCACCTTGGCTGCGATCTCATGCACCGGGCCTCCGATCTGCTTCGACACGCCCTTGGCAACCTCCCGAAGCTCGCGGAGAGGTCTGGAGGACTGGAGCTTGCTCAGCGCGCTGCTGAGGGCACCGACGGGCGGCGCCGGGCCGTCGACGGTGGCGGTGGGGAGGGAGACCTGCTTGTTGTCGTTGAGGATGACGATCATGTTGGAGTCGAGGTAGCCCGCGTTGTTCATGGCTTCGTACACCATGCCCGCCGTCATGGCGCCGTCGCCGATGACTGCAATCACGTTGTTCTTCCGCCCCTTGAGGTCGCGCCCCACCGCCATGCCTGGGGGGAGAAGAGGGGGGCGAAGGGGAGGGGGGGGGGCGGGGGGAGAAGGGGGGGGGGGGGTGGGGGAGGGGAGGGGAAGTGCAAATGAGAAGTGGGCAGAGGCTTTCAGCCGACGGACCATGACCCTCGACCTTCAGCAATGCCAGGCAGTGGAAAGAGGGAAGAGGAGAGGGACGAAAGGAGTGGAGGGAGAGTGGTGGGGTGGAATGTAATTACACCTACTGCAATGCAATCCGCGTAAATCCCGGAATGGCTTGCCTATTTTTGGGCTAGTGCCATTCATGCTCTCAGGGGATTTGGGAGAGGGGCCTAGGTTACGTAGACAGAGTGTACGGCGGGACATAGAGGATTGAGGAACGATAGATGGGTGGAATTTCGGAAGGTCGGAGTCAGTTTTGAATCAAATTGAGGGGGCGAGAGGACTGGGAGAATGGGGATGGGAGGCTCAGTGAAGGGTGAGAGAGACGACCCCCACTATTTACCATCTCCGAGTGTGCTCCTGCTGTGTCTGATTGGGGCTTGTGGGTTCGAAGAGTGCAGAAATCATAGTAAACTGGTTGATAGTCACACCAGGGGATACGGAACACTGAACCGCAGGACAGGAGAGCTACTCACCCATCCCAGTCACTCCCAGTCACGCCCAGCCATCTTACCAACCCCAGCACTCACTCACCCCAGCCACCCACCAAGCCACTCGCCGGTACCAACCCCAGCCGCGCCCAGTTACGCCCAGCCACCCACCACCCCCCACCTCTTTCCCATCCCAGCCACTCACCAACCCCACCCACTTCCCCATCCCAGCCACCCACCAAACCCGCCCACTCCCCCATACCAGCCACTCACCAAGCCCAGCGGAGATACTCGTGGAGCTGTGCCCCGCGCCGAACGCGTCATACTCGCTCTCCGACCGCTTCGTGAACCCGGACAGCCCGCCCGTCTGCCGCAGCGTGTGCATGCGGCTGCGGCGGCCCGTGAGGATCTTGTGCGGGTATGCCTGGTGGCCGACGTCCCAGATGATCCGGTCCTCGGGCGTGTTGAACACGTGGTGCAGCGCAACGGTCAACTCGACCACGCCTAGGGAGGATCCCAGATGCCCGCCCGTCTTCGACACCGTGAAGATCGTCTCCGCGCGCACCTCCTCCGACAGCTGCTTCAGCTCCTGCTCGGGGGAAGAGGCCGGGGGAAGGGGCGGAAGGGGAATGGGAGGGGGGAACGCACAGGGCAAACGGGCAGGAGGGATGGGACAGTTAGTTCGGGATTATGTGAAACCATCCTAGTCTCCCGACCGACCGACTCGGCACGGACCTCTGGTCTGGGGAAGGGCCGGCTGAAGGGATCCGGAAAGGGATTGGAAGGAGAGGACGAACGAAGATGGGGATGCGGACGAGAGAGGTGGAGAGAGACATGCTGTACCAGTGAGGGGCCAGCGACATGGTCTAACTTCTCGAGACTACCACTTTCATGATTCGCATCGGAGTTCATAAAGAAAAGCCACATGAAACCTGAACTTGCAGAGAATTTGGTCCGGCTGTCCATATACCAGCAGAAGCTCGATATGGGGATAGCT